CAATCATCCAGACAAGAAAGCTTTTCTTTCCTATAGTCCTAAAAGAAATTGCCTACTTAGAGATACTTATTCTGTAATTTAAACAAAGCCTTTAAAGCAGCTACAGGACAAAGAACCAGACTGAAGCTTGTTCCTTGAGGTCTGTTTTCTTTACATACCTGCTTTGCATTAGTTACAGGAAATTAGAAGCCAGACCACCTTCATTTCTAAAGCACGGGTTAAATGAATTACACTTACAAAGCCTTGTCTAGCCAAAGTGAATAGCTGTGACAAGTGTAATCTTCATATATAGGCCCACCATTATACTGACATTACACTGACAACACAGCAGGCTTTTGGAGCAGTATTTAGAAGAATGAATTTTTTTTTCCTTTCTAAAAAGGAAATTCTTTAAAAAAATGTATTCCAACAGAATGCAGTTTCATCTGCTAGAAAGAAAATACTGTTTAAAAAAGCAAACTGAAACATATAAGTAGGATTAAGGTATACCACATCACCTTAAAATCTGAATTTAAGTGATTCCTATAGTCCAACAGAGAATACATTTGCAACCCTTAATATTGTGCTGCAAAGCAAAGTTACTTATAAACTCTTGGTGGAATGAGTCTTCAGCTACTCTCATTGAGACTTGGCCAAATGCTCTTTCAATATTTTATTTTTGCTAACATGAAAATGCTCCAACCCTGAGCCACTTGGACTGACTCAGAGGAGAGCCAGTCATGGCAGCAATTACTGTAAATGTGTAGCTTGCACTCAATGACAGGTAGAAAGAGGGAAGGCATTTGCAGTTAACTAACAAGGCATCCAAGTTTCACTGCCTATAAAATTTTAATTGCTTTAGTTATTCTACTCTACCGCTATGGATTATTAATTTCTCGACATTAATTTTCTTCTTCTTTTTGTTGCCAGTCCTAGGAACAGGCTTGGTAAGAATATAAATAGGTAGGAAACCCACTGCCAGAACAAACCTTGGGTACCCATTCCACATCAAAGACAGAGACAAATAATACACTTTGGCTTTTAGGAGCTCTTGGGGATTGCTGGGGGAATTTCAGCCTTGGAATTTCAGCCTTTTCTTGCCCAACTAAGGACTTCCAGATCTATCCTGTAACCTCAAAGAATAGTTTTCTTACCAAAAGACAGCAAAGCAATAGAAAAATGTTCCAATTATATTTTGGATTTGTCTAACTTCTTGTTACTACGATATGCAAAGGTCCTACTGAATAATCTCTTTACTCCGAATCATATTATTCCTGATACTTATATTTTCAGCCCCTTGCATGACACAGAAGCAAGAAAATTTTTCAGAAATAGGAGTGGCAGTAAAGGCCTTTCTTTACTGCACCCTGACCACAGAACAGTATCACCTCTTCTGTGTGTGCTCTCTGTGCTGGGTACCCGAGGCAAAGTTTAGGAGTGTGGTCAATGGCTGTACATTACCTTGAAAGGACTTGCAGAAAGTGACTGATAGGTAAAATGGCTCAGAGGTTTTCCTTCCTGAGTGGTTAATTAAAAAAAACCAACAAGTAAAAAACCCAACCAACCTTCCGCTCCAGCCCCAACTCAAATGACAGAGTCAGGTTTTAACGAAAACTTTGAAAATAATTACTATGTATTTTTATGCAGCGCCACACTGTGCAGAGATCTTCTGGGAAACCTGTTTCTGAGAGAGTACAAAAAGCAGGATGAATGTGAAATCCAGTGATGTGACACTCTTCAGGGCAGGAAGCATTTGCACCCTCTGGAGCTTCGGGGAGAATTGCTGTGCATAAAGATGTAATAAGTGAAAATGTAACTCATCCAGCAACTGGAGATTAATGCCATTATTCTTAGAAAAAAGTCTATAACACTTTCCTTAATGAAGATAAGTTCTTTGAAGTAGGTTTAAACCAAAAGATTTTGCCTAGAAATGTAGAAAGAGAAGGTACAAAGGATTGAGCAGGAGAGCTGATTACACTGAAGGTGTTGAACTTGTAGAATATGATGCCTTTGGCAAGAACAATAATAAACAATCACCCCGTGCAAAGGACTGTGGAGGGAAGTAATTTATCAGCAACAACAGCAGAAGGAACATTAAATGAAGCCATTGTGCAGATCAAACAGGAACCTTTTGCTGTGTATTTCCTGTCTGGAGACAAGCAGGTGCTGCAGCAACCTTTTATCTGTATCAGACTTCTAAACCATTATGCCCAGGTTGTTCAGCGATTATAACTAGCAATCCATGCTGGGTGTGACACAAGCCATCAGAACTCTCAGATAAATTTGAAGCTTGCATGTTTTCTCATGAATTAATGCAAGGTTTGTATGACCTCTTGGCAGTGAAGCTGTTCAACAAAGTAGTTTTGACAACTTCCACTGCAGCGTGCCAGGTCTCTGGGAGCCCAGTGTGGAGCAGTTGAAATTCCCCTTGGATGGTGTGAGATGGAAACCCCAGAGTTACAGACCCCATCAGCCAGGGAAGCACCTGCAAGTCACCTTCCTGTCAAAGCTGCTTGCTCTTCCATCCCTACAATATCTGGGGAGTCCGTGGAGGCATTAGGTTGATTTCCACAGGATTTTGGTGAGACGGCTGTAGACACTTTAAAAGAAATCATTGCTAAACAAAACATCAAGAGTTCTCTGAGAACTGTGTTTGTAGTGAAACACTTCAAGTGCTTTTAGGCAACTGGATTTGCTCAAGCAATTGAGAGTATTTTGAACACCTGGAAAATGCAACTTTTAATTGAGCTGCTAGGGACTGTGCGTCACGGCCTCCTTTATGTTTTACCAGAACCCCAGGAGAGGCAGGCTCATGTGTGGTCTCATTAGCAGATTCACGGCTTCTGCCCTGTGTTTTATTGCTCATCTCTTCCCATGGGAACCTCTCGCTGTCTGAAGAGCTTCGGAGAGAGTTCTGTGATTTTCAGACAAGTGCATTCTTTACCTTGGTAGCCCCTACTCTTTGTGGTGAGAAGTAGTGAGGGAAAAGTTTTTCTTTGCTGCTCCACTTGCATTCCCCTCTGTGAATTTTAGCATCAAATAATTACATGCTGTTGAGATGTGAAGTGTTTGGGACAGAGCAGCTGCTGGCTTAGAAGCAGTTCCCTTGGAATAGGTTAAAAATATTTTACTTTCCTATACTGGCAATGATCCTGACTTGTATCTTCCTAATCACTGCCTGGTGCAAATTTCCTTACATTTTTTCCATTCAGAATTTTAGCCAGAGGACAAATAAACTGGGGGAATTTGGAAACTGACAGCCAGATATGGGGCTGATACTTCTGATGATTTTGAAATCTGCTAATTTTTCACTTAAAGACGCTTTGAACACATGGTTGAGCTAGATAATTTCTATGCAACCATTTCAAATCAATTAGCTGAAGAGCTCTCCAGGTCTTTGATGAAAGTAGGTAATAAAACTTTAAAAATGGGTAAAATTTTTGACAGCTGTGAGATACTTTTTTTGAAATTATAAACAGTGAATAAAGACAGTAGCTAGATGTCAATTCTAGCCCACATAAAAGACTAGTAAAATTTTACACTGAAAAATGACAGCATACTTGCCAATATAATGGCAGGAAAATTGATTTCACTCACTGATGTCCCACTTTAACAGATTACTCCTGTGATTAATATGGGAAACTGTTAAGGTAACACATTTCATTTTCTCTGGAAGGATTACTCACCCTGCATTGCTGTGGCTGAATGCTGCCAGGTAATACTGACCACATTCAGTCTGTGTGGTCCACATTAATTGGACTGAGTAGTACACTGATGATGGATGCTGAAATACTGGTCATCATTAAAGAATGGTCATAACGAGGCTTTCCACAGATTGGTTGAGTCACAAAGTATTTAACATGGGATTTATTAGTAATCTGAACCAAAACCAAACCAAAGTGCAGAAATCTGCAGGTAAAAGTCTCAGGAAATTGGATACCAACAAACATGAGCTTGGGTCACTAATACATACCAAGCAGGGCTGGCAGCTAAAATGGTAATTCAATATATACAAGCTTTCACTGGATTTGAATCAGAGTCTAAAGAGGGTAAAGTCATTTCTAGTCTGACAAACTGGAAGCTGGGCACCGAAAGCAATTTTGTTCAAAAAAGGAAAAAGAAACGGAGCCAACAGGATACCACAGAATTATATTTATGTTGTACATTTGTCTTCACATTGCAACATCCACATTGTTCATTTTGTGACAAGTATTTCTAATAATTTTGAATACATATTTACTGTATAATACATTTTACCAAGAGGCACTTCCAGTAATTCTGGCAAAAAGGAGCTCCATTATAGTGTCTAACTTACAAAACAGTAAAAATAAATAATGTTTATCTAAAAGATTTTTTTCCTGTACAGAATCTATTTTGTACAAAACATTTATCAGCCATTAACTAAATCACTTAACAAATACTTGTGAAGAGAATATATTAAGTATTGCTACATGTATCGAGTGCAAGATACTAGTGAAAGGAAAAGAATTACTCTGTTTATGAAAATCACCTAAAAATACAAGGCCTTGTTTCTGAAGTGTTTAGAAAGGAGAAGCTTGGTTACAACAATATCGACAATATATAAATATAAATTAATGTATGTAGTACTTAGTGAAAAGAACACTGTGTTAAAAACTGGCGTGTACAAATCCTAAACAAGATGGCACTTTTCTGCATTGCCACTTTGGCTGGCAGTTATTTTTTTAAAATATTGCTTCAAAAGAATTATAAAGGTACACAAAACCCTTTTCAAATAGAGCCATATAAAATTACACTCCCCCCACCTTTTTCTCACCTTTTGAAGTGAAAAAAAAACAAGGAGGAATTAAATTTGTAGTACACAAGTGATTTGTGGTAACTTGCTACTATAGCTGAATCTGAATAAGCATCATTAAAATAATTTTGCCCCGAGGTCCCAGGCCAGGATTCAAACCTGAAAGGACAGGAGGTAAGATGACCAAATTTCTCAGTGTTTCCTGAAGTAAAAGAACTTTGGCCTGTTGTCAATTTTAGAATAAAAAAAAATTGTATAATTTGGCCCTCGAATCTGGTGGGGGTCAAGTGCTTCAATTATATTGGCACACCAAAGATTTTAATTGAGAAAGGGCTGTAATCTTGCTATATTAATTTCTTGATCACTTTACCAAAATGGGATTTTTAATTTTTTCAATCACATCTTCTACATGATATATATACTTGCATATTGTTACCCAGACAGGCCAAACTGTATTGGAAAAGAATTATTTTTGGAAGGTCTTTCTTCCACAACTGGAGGCAAAGGTGAAAAAATGTGTTTTTGTTGGAAAATATCCTAGATGTTCTTCTATCAAAAGCACTAAAAAGAAAAAAAAACTGCCACCCATCAGTGAAAATGTTAATCTGTTAAACAAACGTAACCCACAGTATGAATCACGGCTTTTTAAAAAGTAAACTTAAATTACTTTCCATCATGCAAACATCTGATATTGATTATTCAAGAGAAGAAGACTTAACTTTAGAAAAGTAATGACCAAAAGTACGCTGACATGGTTGAAATATTAAAGATATCATCAACATCACATAGCAGTTATTAACGTTGTGTTTGATCTTTTGGGACACCATCTGCAGTACTGTATCAAGGTTTACAAACACCTACAAATCAACATTTTGCATTCAAACACAGGTTTTCGTTGTGTTTCGGGATCAGGCAGGAATTTTGAAAAGGAAAGTCAGCTTTAAGAGACTTTAGCAGGCTTTCTACCTACAGCAGTATGTACACACATGGCAAACCCCTCACTGATTTCTCTCTGACCAGATCACAGAGCTTTTTTTAATTTTTTTTTTTAAGAAAGCATGGGGGAATACAACTAAAGTCAGAGGAGAATAAAAAAGCACCACCAAAACCTCCCAACTCTTTTAAATAAATACATAAAAGCAAAGAGCAGTTGCTAATTCACATCAATTGTTTCTGAGCGTTGAAAATTTGAGCTATTATTTGATCTGATTTTCTATGGTTTTACCTCAGGACAAGAGAATTCAATCATAAAAGGACACATGGCCTGCAGCAGTGGCAAGGTCCTGTACACCTGCTCTTATGCTTCCACACAGAAAAAAGAAATACTGGAATTTCCCTAATTAATTCACTGCTCATTTACACCTTCTTCCACACCTGCAGATTTCAGTGGTGCTCCCCAGAGCACAAAGACTCCCTATGGCATCCAGGGCAGAAGAATTCTCCTCTGCTGCCCCATTCCCACATCTCAGACACATTACACACACAGCTTTGGAAGCAAGAAACCACAGGCACAGACTAGCGACCTGAAAAGCTCAAATGAAATATTCTTTTATATTTTTTTTTTTTTTTCATCCTCTTGCACCAAGCAAAGTTTTCCTTAACAAAGCAGAATTAAACAACTTCAGTCAAAAATTCTTCTTGACTTACTACATCCCTCAGCTTGACAGAGCACACCCAAGGTCAGCTGGTTTTACCTGAACTCAGCAGTTTTACACGAGCAAGCACTCGGGGAAATGTCTGCATACACCTCAAGTGACACTGGCAGGGTTTCAGACTGCACACTGCTTACCCTTTCAGTTTTATCAAAGAAGTTTTGTTAACTGGCTCGAGCTCTTCCCCCCTTTTGTCCTTTTGAAAATGAAATACACCAGCACTGTTCTGCCCCCAGGCTCCTGAGGAGTTTGTATCATCCTAAGAGCTCAGGTGCTCACTCAGGTGACATCTGCATCCCAGTGTGGTGGTGTGATGCATTTTTCATCAAAAGAACACCTGCCTGCCAGGAAAATCCCACTAAAGACCTCTGAATAAATAATAATTAAGTTGTAAATGGAGAATAATTCTCACACTGCTCCTTCCAATGCTGGACTAAATAACTACCACAGCAGGGTAGTTCTGTGGTAGTTTAGCCCCCCAGCAGGGGCTAAACCCTGCTTTAATTTACCTGCAGAGGAATGTTGTTTTGCTGAAAGAAAGTGATGAAATTCAAACAAAGATTTGTCATACTAAATTGCTCTCAAAAGTACTGGGTGCTATTTTGCTCTAAATCAAAGTTTGGCTCCAATAATCAATAATTTTGCAAGCTCTTCCAATGTTTCTTAAGACAGCTGTCACATAATTTCTATTGTTTTTTTTATCTGTTCAAAATCACTTAACATGTGTTTTTCTCTAAGATCCCTGGACATTCTTACTTGCTGATTCACTGAAAAATAGGAAAAAATAAAAGATTCCCCCGCTTTAATTAATGGGAATAACAATCTTATTTTTAACACTGCCATCATTTTGACTAACACTGCAACATCAAACAGCAATTAAACTCCAAGGAACTCTATGTTTACTCCATTTCAGCAGGATTACATTTGCTTTTGAAAGAAAAGGAAAATAAAATTTTGTTTTATACAATCTGTTTGATACTGGACTATGATTTCCTTTTCTCCTTCCCACAAAATTCTAGTTTTACTTCCCTTCTGCATGTGTACAACCCCATCAGCCTGAGGACTGATTGCCCCAGCTCTGGGGTGAGGATACCCAAGTTCTAAGGCCAGTGCCCAGGGCTGAGGCTGGGGAGAGCAGGCAGCCCTTAGTGCCTGCAGAGAGGTGTATTCTTCACTCTGGGAACGTCCTTCTAATGTCTAATCTTCTGCCCATGAGGCTGTGGGAGGCTCAGAAACCCTCTCATCCTTTAATTGAAACCTTCCTTCCTTAAACATGTGATGCTGGAACATCTCAATGGTGGCAGGACTTAGACGTTGCACAAGTACTTCATTAACAACCAGGGCCAACCACAAACCTTTTGCTGCATTAGACCTTATGGCTGAGTTTTCAAAAATGCCTAGGGTTCATTTTGAAAAATGACAAAATTCTCTAGGATTCCAAGTCCAGCTAGGCTGAGGTTGCTGAGAGCTACCCCATTCCTACTCAGCTCACAGAGCAGCAGCACTGGATGCCCACACAGAGTCCTTACAGGCTCTGCCACTGACTGATGTTCAATTTGGCAAAATCCCTGCCTTCTTCACACTGCCTTCTACTTTCCAGAGCATTTCTGAAGAAAGATGGGGCCAGAATTTCAGAAAGAAAAAAAGAATTCCAGCAAAAAAGCAGACAGAAATTTAGAATTTTTAAAGAAAACAAATGAACGTAATGTCCAGCATGGAATGCCTAGAATGGGACTTGGGAGCGAAATTTACTTAGATGCCAAATGGTACCTTCAAAAGCATCTATTTGAACCTCTATAGCCTTAACTTTCTTGCAGATTCAGACCACCAGGATCTTAAGAAATTCTAACAGTGGTACAACAATGGTAAAAGACCTAAATCCATCTTTAGGCTGATGATGATGCAGAGAGAAGCTCGCACATGATGTCAGAATAAAAACTGATGAAAACTATCCTTGCATTATTAACAAAAGCATTCTCAAATTACATCTACCCTGGGAACCATTTCCTGCCATGATGTGACCGTGTTTGCCATGAGAGCCAGCAACCTGCATGATGTAACAGGGGAAGCCTTCAGTGACACACAGCTTTGTGTAAAAGATTTCATTCACAAATGAAGGCCATCCCAAATCCTGCCAAGAGCACAGAAAAATCCCTTTTCCCTAGATTGCTACTCATTTCTGATGCACAGCTTGCAACATCTCATCAAACAGCTCCTTCCTACGGGAGGAAGCAGATGATTTTCAGAGACAAGCGTCAAAAGGCTCTGCACATTAGCTAAAAACAAACCAAGATTTTAGAATTAGAGCATGAATATAGAGCGTAGTAAATTATTGCCCATTGAACATGGTGGAAACTATTGTTTTTAGACCCAGCATTTTTGGTTTCTTAGAAACTAATGTCTTAAACTCCTCCTAAAAGAAAAGGTTTTGGGGCTTTCACACTCTTACTTCCACATGTTCCCTCTGCAACACAAGTGTAATGAGAGAAGGTATATTCCATGGTAAACACCACGTGGCTATCAATGAAAGTGCCAATACAGGGACAAAAGTGTTTACATGTGATTGCTATGTGACACACAGAGTCCTTTTCTCACTGTACTGGGAGCTGCAAGGACTGCAAATCTTCAGGCAGACTTCTAGGCTAGAAGAGAACAGGATCAGACACCAAGTGCCATTACAGTGGGGAAAACAAAATATCCAAATGGGAAAAATCATCTAGTCTTTCTCTTCCTCTTGTTTTTAGAAAACAGAAAACTAAAGCACTTTGGGTTTGCCACTGCAAAACACTGATAAAATGGGGGTTGTTTTCCTTAGTATCTAACACACTGCTTTACATATGGTATGTACCAGCAATTCATATCAACATTGTAAACATCCCACCTAAAACATGAGCATTTTGCTGATTGAATACAATTAATTTTATTTTTTTTGTTTTTTCTTCCTAAAATATTTCATAGGCTGTGGTTTATTTGGTGCTTGCAACCCCAAAGGGCTACACAAAGTGGAAATCCAAGATCTGCCTCCAAAAGGCTGCTATAACTGCAGGTAAAGGTTTTGCTTCTTTTGGTCTAGAAAATGTTATAAAGCCCCCTAAATTACCTGCTTCATTATCTATGAACCCCAAAGCACAAATTAAAAAAAAAAAAGTTTTTCACATTCTTGACATAAAATTTCTGTTATTTTCTTTTGTGTTATGTTGTTACCAACCTAGAGATTTCCTAATCATTGCCTGCCAGACATGCACTTCAAAGACTGAGAATGAGATTCCTAAGGAGGTGCCACCTGAAGAAATTGGATTATTATTTGGAGTGTGAAAAAAAAATAAAAAAAATCACCTCTTACCAATCTGAGCACTCACAGCTACTTCATCTTCTTCACTGGAATTTCTTTCTACTTTGGATAAAAAAAGTCATTCTAATTTTAAGTCTGTCAGAAATTTCTTCAGCATAAAGGTCCAGCTCAATGACTGTTCCCATGAACAGGCTTGGGTAGCAATGGTATATCAGTTTCTAACAGCTGCCTTGGCAATGCAGAGGAAGAAATTAGAAGCTGACACTAAGTTTACTTAATGGCAACCAAAAATGATGAGTAGAAAAATATAATGGTTTCAGCACATTTTTAGATAACTTTCCTTAGTTATTCTCAGTTCTTTACAACCCTATGTGAGTCAGTTTAGAGGAATATGTGGAACCCTACTTACAGGATTTTGCCTCATTCTTGAATGCTTTGTAATTTAACTGGGCACCCACTAACACTTGCTGCAATAGAATTTTTCATCTTCCAGCAAAGGCAATATAGAAGCCAGTATTAAAATCCAGTTTCAGTGATTATGCACTGCAAATTGACAAAGAAGTGCTTGGAGATGTGACATTTTAAAGCATCTCTGTTAAGTTTAATTTTTAAAGGACAAAATTAAGCATAATAAATCCTTCTCATACTATAAGGTAGGCATATCACTTGTACAGGAAAAGCCCAAATAAAATGATCAATCAAATATCTGAAGAGAATATGAAAACAATGCAAGCTGGAATTAGTGGAGACTTGCTGAGATCTTGGAGATATTTTTTTCTCTTGAATGAATTCTGCTATGTTCTTTTCCTTTAAAATAGCAATGTGATTTCGATCTTTGCTTTCCTGATTTCATTGGAAAACATTTCCTAAATATTCCTGCTGATAAGAGCATTCAGAACCCTGCTCCAGTCACTCTGCTGAAAGGAAAACACATTTTCTACTGGTAAGAGTAGGACAGGACAATATCAGCCAAGTAGAACCAGTAAAAACCCCAAATCCTCTTTAGAGGAAAATCTCATTCTGACAGAATCACAAAGCATGAAGGAGCTCTCAAGTGATAACACACACTATTGGCTTTGATAGAGAATGTTTTCCAACATTTTGGGGAGGTGTCGACAGGATCGTGAAATTTGGTGAATGTGTAACAATAGCAAAAAGTGATGGGTGTAATGTCAGAAATTTAATACAGAAAGGACTTCTACAAACTCTGCCTTTCACAAAGAATCTTACTCTCACAAGCAACCCTCTTCTTGGTAATGGGCTACAGAAACAAAGCAGAAAAAGCATACATAGTCAAAGGATTTTGGAGAGATACTGGAGTTTATATATATAACTCTTTCTGTGGGAACAAATCTCTAAACTGTGGGGTACTGGTTGGTACTGCCAGTCCCCAAGAGCATTAATATTTTAAAGCCTTGATCCTGTAGACCGCTGGTTTCCCAGAATGGTCTATACAAATTAGTCAAGACTTTATTTGTGGGGTTTGAAAATGGCTACACTGTATAAAAATGTTTTTGTATTTATTTTTTAAAAAAACTATCTTTACAAAACAACTTTTCCCTTTTTTTTCTTTTTCTTTTTTTTTTTTTCTTAAAGATATCATTATCTACAGGAACTCATAAAAATTTTTCCATATTTACATCTAGACAGCTAATAATTGACAACTATAACGTGAAATAAAATATTGAAAGTGAATATCCAACCTTTTAAATAGACATTTGGCTCACAGCATAAACAACAGAGAAAACATATGAACAGAACAACAACAACAACAAAAAGATCTGCTGTTCTTACAGGCCTGATCTTTTTCTTCCTCTTAAAAAAAAAAAAAAAAAAAAAGTAGAAAGAAGGAAAAAAAGTATATTGGTGGGATCACACATGCTGCTTCTAAGCAGAATGCCAGCAATAAACTTCTCCATCCAGCACCTCACACTGAAAACTCAAGTTCTCTGAAGCTCATGTGAGTAGTTGCTGGGACAGCCGAGTGCCCGGCCCAGGACTGGCACCTGTCCCCCATGCAGCTCCTGAAGCACCCTTTGCCTTTTTAGCTTTGTTCTTTAGTGATGCCTTTGGTCACTGGTGCCCAGAGGCAGGGGCTGAGGGCAGAAGAGGAGGACAGTGTGCCTGCAGCTTCCGAGCGCGTTTGCTCCCCGTTTTCTCCTGCCCAAACCCACGCCTGACCCCGCACTGCTGCTCCAACAGTACAGAGCACAGGGAGGCCAGGTCATCTCCAGGGGAACAGATTGCTGTGCCATGCAGTTCCCCCTCTGGAAATAGCCCTCCTGGCACATCCCTTTCGCCAGCAGTCCCAGAGCTGCCGAGGAGGAGGAGGAGGAAGAGGAGGAATTGGAGGTGATGGTGCTGGCACAGCTGGGAAGGGCCAGAGCTGCGGCTCTGAGCGGCTGCTGCCCGCAGCTGGAGTGCAAACTGGGATTGCAGGGCTATGGGAAAGCAAAGCTCCTCAAAATTGTTCCCTTGCAGGCACGAATTCTCTAAAATTCCGGCCTTCTGTTTGTTGTGGTATACTGGGACATGTGCTACAGCTAGAGTGTAAGAACTCAGACCATGCTGTATTTCCTCACATCCACTCACACTTGCAAACACCCCCTCACTCACACTTACGTGTTGGCAGGATATATCAGCATTCATATAAAGCTTTGGAACTTTTATCCCTCAGCATAAGAGCAAAAGCTACTTAACTGGTACCTTACTGTTAACTGCAAATGTGCTTCAGAAGCAGCATTTCCTTAGATAACTAACTTTCTCCTGTAAATATCACAGTGACCATAATATATCATTAAATGTATTTTGCTGAAGTGTGCAGCCAATAACCCTGGCTATTTATATATATATATTTATATAATTCCACCCACCCCCAAATCTCTTCAAAGAAAGTCTGTAAAGCCGGTGTTGCAGTGTGAAAGCTTCCTTGAGCATAGGAGTTTAAACAATGTACCTCACCATAAAAAGGAAAGAGAAACAAATTAAACAGCTGTAGGCGCATTATCCCATACTTCTACAGTGTTGTGTCTAAATGCTGTGCTGGCTTGAGAAAGAGTCTGTGCACGAGTCAATCTGTCTTAAAATACTGCTGTGAATGCTGTCATTGGTTTGGTTCTACAGTTGTGCTCTCCTCTTCATCCTTCTTGGCCTTTCCTTTCTCCTCCTCCTCTTCCCTGATGGCCTGGATTTGTTCTGAAGATTGGTGCAGTGGGGATTGCTCCGTGCCTTGCTTCTCTGACCCAGCTAACCTCTCCTCATCCTCAATCACTTTCTGCCACATCTTATGGTTCTGAAGCAGGTGCTGAGTGATCTGACAGTAGATTTTCCTCCTCTTGAACTTCTTCTTTCCTGTAAAATACCATAATGTGACATTAATGTACTGGTTTCTGCTGGAGAAGGAAAAGCGACTGAAGGCACAGGAAGCAGACAGAGTGTGCTATGACAGATTTTTAAAGCCAAAAATTTAAACAGTGTTAAAATTCAGAAAGCTGTGACTCTCCAGATCTTAAGGAAAGCAAACTGAGTTTGAGCTGCAGCATCATCCTCTCCCAAGGCTGCATATTGCACCTGACTCTACTGCTCACAGAGGTATCTACTCTTTGAATGATGATGCATAAAACATGTTGCTGAGCTGTTTCTGCTCATTTCATATCAAGTTCTTAAAGACTCTGATCAACATACATTAAATTCTGTGCCCTCCTCACCCCCAATAGATCCCTGCCCATTGTCCTAGGGGGAAAAAAAAATCCTGATTTTACTTTCCTATGTTCAATTTTCAAAGTCATCTATTGCTCTGCCATCGAGGTGACCTTAAAGATTAAGCATAACATTGCTTTGGAACCACTCTGAGCACTGAAGAAGTCCTCATATAGCCAAATGCTACCAGAAAGTTTGTTTTTCTTTGGTTTTGAAGCACCAGTCCCCTGCTCTCGGACTAAGAAGAGTTTTTGTCCCTGGTGGTTCTCATGGCTCTTGCCACAGCTGACACTACAAGTGTTTTTCTGTCTGAAGGGTGTTTTTTATCCCATCAATACAGTCTGTCCAGCACAGATTGTCAACTCCTTAGCAGTACAAAGTTTGAAAAATTTTCCTGGTCATTAGCAGTGACAATGGCAATCACAGAACTGAAATAATAACCCCTCCAAAGACAACTGCTGGTTTTCCTTTAAAGAAGGTGACGTAGAGGAATGTTTTGTACGAAATAAATTTGCGTGGATTAGTATTTGCGGGTTGCCTAAAGTATGTCTGTGTCAGGATCCAAAATGTTTAGCCCTTGAAGCTTTTGAACTGGAAACAAAGAGCTTTTCACTGAGCACAGACCAAATCCAATTCAATCCTTCATTAGAAAGCCCTTGGTTCCCTGTAGGAAACCTTCAGGTTTAGCACTAATAAGAATCCCCTACCCTGCCAATGCTAGAGCAGGACATTCTCTCCTGGGTTTCCCAGGTGACCCCACATCTTGTTGCTCTCTGCAGACACTTGCTGTGGTGTTAAAATTTGTCTGAATCACTAAAGACTGAGTCTGTTTAATTCTTATACTTGCATAAGACCTTCAGGGAAAGTACATGCTTCTACATGATAAAAAAAAGAAATAAATTACTTAAGGCTTCTTTAAGGTTATAACTCTTAAATTTATCTCAATTGCTTCAGTGAATTATCAGGACCTAGATGAAGTGTTTTCTGCCACAATTATATTTACATCTGCTTAAAAGGCATTTTTATCAAAAGATCTTTACCAACATCTAAACCAGTCTTAATGTCTGCGCATCTGACATCTCAAACTTTTATTGTTTCATTGAGAAAGTTTATAAAGTCCAAAATTGTGTTGATCACAAGTACACATTTCTAAGGAACTATAAGGCCCCTATATTGACACAAAAGATGTCATAGAACACTGAGTAAGGTCCACACAGTCACAGAGAATTCTGGGACCTGAAGACAACAATTTGTCACTCATTCATATGATCAAGAAAAGGAGCATCTCCCATTTGGTATGAAGGAAGTAGAAAGCATTAGTTGAATACTTCAAAACTTCTCATACATTAATTTTTAAAGTCTTGAAAACCATAGTCTAAAAGCACCAGGCTGAATAATAAGATATTATAAAGGGTAGAATGTAAAAAAAGAAAACAGAAGGTCACTAAAATCAGTCTGTTTGCAATATGAAAGGAGTTAATAACTATCAGTGCTTTTAACCTGAAAACAGCATTGTTTGACTCCACTAATGATGATACAGAAGATAAGTGAATAGAGATATTAGATGAAAGGAAACCAAGGATTTCAGAGGTTGGATATATGAGAACATCCTTTATATTTTTAATTTTTTTTGATACAGCAGTATCAGTTTCAGGCTTCGGGGGTCTGTGTTAATTACCAGTTGCACACATTTCCTCCTAGCAGGCATCTCCATAAAGGCCAATCTGCCACAAACATGTGGCTCTGCCTATTACAGAACTGATAGATCATAAGGTGCTAAATTAACCCGTGGGTGTTATATTACTTGATGTTTACTGTTCTCTATGAGATGTTTTTTGTGCTAAATGTGCTAAATTTAAATTATGTGCGAGTGTGAGTGTGTGTGTGAGTGTGTGTGTGAAAAACGACAATGATTTCTTAAATACAAACTGTTCACCTCTGGATCTTACTAGAGATAAAAGTTTAATTCTGCACATCAGGAGACATAGATTTTAGTTCCTCATCCACATGTGACTTACTGCACTCATCAAATATTTTTCAGCTTTCCCAAACAGGGATGATACCCAGGCAGGGCATGGAAGTGTGTGGGCAAGAACAGAAAAAGTGAGGCTTTTGAGGGGAAAAAGCTATATATTGGTATTTCATGAGTGCACTTAAGGCTGCTGTTTCCTAAAACTTCTGGACAGGGGAGAGAGAGAAAGATCACTCACAGGAGGGAAATAAAGGAACAGTAGTAGAAAATTCAGAGGGAGAAAAACCATGAAAGAATGAAAAAGGCAATGCAGGATTAAACTGATGAAAGTTAGAGGTCTAGAGTTGCAGTATTTCCTCTTAGAAGTCACTTCCCACAAGTGCCTGAAATCTCCTTTCAAGGTAAAAAACTTCCATCTCAGTACAGCAAATATTGGCAATGTTGCCTTTCTAGAGGAGAGGCAGGAGAACATAAGCTGTATTTACTGACTAGCCAAGTGATGCAGCTCCCAGCACACAGCACAGCAGTGCCCAGTGCCAATTCTCTTCCCACTCTTCTCCATGTTACCTTGAAGAGATTTGCATTAAAACAATTCCATTGTTAAAAACTATTTTTCTGCATCAGCATTTCAGACCCTCATTCTATTATTCCAGTGTGTCACGTTAACTCATGGAAATGGTGTTTTCCTTGAATAATCTTCTCCCAAACATCCTTTTTCCAACTGAAATTCTTGCAGTCTATTAGCACCAGTCCTGAAAGAGTCTAGAAAGCCCTCATGCACAGACAGATGATCCACCACCAGAAACCCCAGCAAAGGTTGAAATAAGTGGTGGATATGAACCACATTGGTCCTGGACCCATGGAACATTTCCATTAACAATTTAAGTGGCCACAACTTCACCGAGGACAGCACTGTCACTCTGCAGGAGGCCCGTGTTGAACATGGCCAACTTACAGCCTCTGCTTAGTGCTCTGCTCACAACATGGAACTTGTTTTGTTGGAAAATGCAAATGTCCACAACTTACTGGATTCAGCATTTTCACAAGTCTCCATTTCTGCTGTTTCTTCCTCCTCTTGCTCATCGGTGTCTCCTGATTCATCACTATCTTCTATCCATTTTCCTGGCATCAGCCCCGCTGAGTCATAGGAGTTACACAGTGGTCCCACGATGTGAGTGATGAAGGATTCCTGGAGGTGTGCCAGCTGAGGAGCAGAGCGGTCCATGAAAGGACTGATTGGCAAGCCCAGGCTGGCCTCTTCATCACCCTGGAGATGAAAAATAGCTGTCATTTCTCTGAGCTAAAAGAAACAAAACTATGTCACAAAAAGGAGTAGAGCATATCCAACCAATTAAAATTGCTGGAAGAACTACACCTAAATGGCACCCTGGCACTTCCATCGTGACATTGCCACAGTGCCATCATGTCAAATGGTCAGAGCTACAGCTCTTTTCTTTAGGCTGATACCAGCCCACTACCAATAATATGAATTTAACAAGGATGTTAATGACTCTGCAGAAGGATGCCCTTAGCCCTGAACTTTGCACTGTGTGAAAACTTGGAATTCGTTGTTTCAATTATTTCTTCACATTATTTCAAAAAAATCCCTTCTGATTGTGTGATTGCTAGTTCACAACAACCTTGTTTACAGGGAATAAGACAACTTCTAGAAGACAGGACTATCTCAACAGACTAGTTTTCTTATTAATTTCATCCTTATTAAAAGTAACCTGCAGATGTCCTCTTGGCTTTGGCTCATAATATTTAGAATTAAACTGCAACTATTAGAATGATCCCTTTGAAAGCAATGTGTGACATTCATTCAACAGTAAATCTTTCCCATGAAGCTTTTTGTTAGGGTTTTCTGGGGGAGAGAGGGAGGCATGAGTTTTTTCTCTCTCTTCTCATGATGCAAAATAAAGTAAAACTTCATTGCAGAACCAAATCTGATATACTCAATTCCCTATCACAGCAAAAACTTCTGCTGATATCAGTGTGCTTTCAGCTGAGCAGATGTGACAAGACCAGATGCCATCTCCCCCCAAAAAATATCTAACCTCCCTAATCAAGCCTGATATGTAACTGAGTGCTGTGGTACAATACAGAGTTCTATATTTAAGGATATAGATTAGAATCTGGAGATGCATTTTCAGTGTCCATTATGTTATACTTTAGTTTTATTTGTTTCCATGCAATGTGAATTTTTGAAGAGTAATGGTTCTTCATACCTGAACAACACCCTGTCTGTATCTGTATTTGAGGAAGGCCAAAAAATGAGAGCTAAATTCTGGAGTATGTACAGCAAATATCTCATTTCCTTGTGTTTTGTTTGTTAATTTTATAATAACCAACCCTGAAATGTTATGTTCAATGATTAAAAACAAAATATTTGTGTTGACAAACAACTGAAACGTGCCATTCATTCTTGAAACAGCAAATTAAGAAGAGGTGACAGCTTGGTCCTTACAGAAACATATCTGAGATTTTCTAGTTGTGAACTGGGAAAAATGCTGACTGTTGAAATGTTTACAAATTCTTTTTTATTATTCTATTAAAACATGATTTATTATGTGAAACATCCTGCAGTATTTTTTTAAATCTAATATGTCTATCCTGTCTTCAAATAATTATGCTGGATATGTAAAGAGAAGGAAATATCCTGCAACAATATGACACAGGATTTTGAATATTTTTACACAACACATTTTTAATAAACAGTTTTTATTTAGATGGGGGTGAAATTCTTCAAAGAAGTTGGTGTTTATTGTAACAAAGATATTTCTTGACTTTTACAGCATAGGTTGAATTCACGTATGTGTGCTTTTTGATAGCACTTCCAGGGAAATTCAAACTTCCCATAAAATTTTCCTTTTTAGAAATGAGAATATGAAGACTTTTCCAGCTGCAGAAAAAACTAGTGCTCACAAGCATGGTGAACATGGTTTGAGACACCTCTTGTAGATTATTATGTTAAAGGAAAACTGATTTTAACAGCGATAAAAGAAATTGAGAATCTAGCTTATCCTCCTCAACGCCAAAAGCAAGTCCAAGAAAGAAAATGTTCTCTGTTTTGGATCCCATTTCTGAATGATGGAAAATAACACAGGCTCATACTGTGGAACAGATAACACAATATCTTCCCACATCTGTATCCTCACAAGCTTGATTTACTGTCCAACGCTTCGATGACATCAATATATCGGGGCACTGCATGCACTAGTCACCCACATAAGCTATGATCATCACCAGAATTGCAAAGTACAGTTTGTTGGGACAGTTGTAATGAAGAAGAAAAGCATTTCCTGAAAGAAAATTTGGGACATGAAGGTTGTTTTGGGAGACTCTCTTTGTTTTAGAAAAAAAATGAAAACAAAAATGGAACCAGCTATATTCATACTATATGTAAAGTTCATTGTACCTTCTTTTTCTTGGGAGATTTGAAAGAAATAAAGAAGCTTCAGGTCAATGTCTGAATTATGTCCCTTTCTCTGTCTCTTTACATACTCCAGAAGGCAGCAGCAAATCCTGGTTGGATTTTTTTTTTTCCAAACTGAAAGTGCAGTAAATTTAAGGGAAGTTCAAAAAGCTTTTAAAGGGATTAGTTTGTGACTCCAAGTCTGCACAGCCTCCCTGAGAAGTCTGTGGGTTGTCTTGTTCAGTGATTTAGCCTGTTTGCTTCATCTGGAAAAGACAGGATGTGGAGTTTAATCTGACCAGAACATTCAAAATGTTCCCACTCAGGAAACAGAGGAATTGTGTGGGAACAGCCCTGACCCTTGCACTCAGCTAAATAGGTTATAATGAGAAAAGGTTCAGTTAAGGGCTCCCTTACACCTAGAAAGAGAGGAGCAGTGACTGGCTGTATTCCCAGGTCTTTGTAAATCAATCTGTGGCTGTCCTCCTTCCTTGTGCCACCAGCACGGCCTTGCACAATTAGTGCAACTGTTCTGACAAACCTCTGAGAGCTGGAAGTGTTGTCTTAAAAATGAAGTGTGGGTCAGGATCAGTGTGTAGGGAGCAGATGTGGTTGGCCTGTGATGAACTGAAAGCCAGTGTTACAGTCCTGCTCAGCACGTAAAGGTTCTGGTTGTGGGAACAGAGATGTGGCCTGCAGAGAAGCTAAAACAATTCCACTGCTCTGGTTAGATCATCTGTTCTCATCTTTTGGAGACTACATGTCAATAAAAGTCTGAGACTGCACAGGAGGGCCATGAAAACCAGCTGATGTCTTGGAAGAACACAGAAAGAAGGATGAAAACATGATTAGCACTAAGGAAGAGGGAAATGACAGCCATGATGACTGAGAACAGGAAAATAAAAAGAGGAAAGGAACACTTGTTCACCATGACAATGCTTGTCCACAGTGCCAGACTTGAACAGTTCAGCATGTAAAAACCCCATCATCACAAACTTCAGTGACAAATGGACTTTCACTGGTCCAGCAAAATACTGGATTAATGTAACGCTATCCAACCTCTTCACCTCTATTCTCTGTGATTTTCCACTCACCACCAGCACTATCATGCTCCAGAACACAGGGCATGCAGCTTTGGAGTGCATTTACCTGTTCATAAAACTCATTGACGATGCCTTCTGTCCACTGCAGATGCAAGTCTTTGCATTTTGCAGGCCCATTGACGTCAGCCAGTTTGATGCACATCTGACAGACCAGCAGGCGGTCGTTCTCGTTGGTCCAGTCAATTCCAACATCATCGTTCACCTAGGAGACAGGGAAAAGGAAACCATGGTGGTAATCCCGGGCTAAAGGATGTGTCCACAGAGGAAGTTCTGACCTGGGACATTGTGCAATATATTTAGCTAGTTAACAAAATCACTAGGATAAGCAGGCGAGCTAACCTCAGGCTGGAATTAACAATATGGAAAATGAAAAATAAATTAAAACTAAGGAACATTGAAATGAATAATGAGAAATCAATATCTAGCACATTATGCACCTGTTTGAAAGCATTTACTAGGAGAACAAACAAATGCAATCTTTCCATGACATTTTTCAAAAAGTTGATAGCTATTGGTGTATAAATATAAATTACTATAAAAGATCATGATTGCAGAGTGAAGATGTGTATAATAAGCTTATTTCCCTGTTTGATCTAAGTATGGCTGAAACTATTTCCTCCCTTTTTCCTTTTCTCTATTTTTCCTACACCTCTCACAAGAAGAAGTGATACATGCTGTCAACTGCTCTAAAAGAAAAGCAAGAAGGCTGAGGTTGGAAGGGACATGACTAGCAGGGGTGCAGAAGGAGCTCAGACTTTTATGGATCTACAGATCAGTTCTCTGTCTACCCTGGACCACATCTAGGGCCTCTCTCTACTGCTTCTTAAAGCCTGACAAAGAGAAATGTTACAGGGAAATGGAAAACCAAACCAGTCATACGTCTGGAGGCTTCAAAGTGTCAGCATACAGATCCAGCCTAAGTAATGCCACAGGAAGAAAACATTTTATCCATGTCACCAAAAACACCTAAGGAGGTCCTAGATACAAAACACACTGCTCTTGGAGGGTTCTCACAAGGAACAAGGCAGTACCAGCTCCAAAGGCAGGTATCTAGTTAACATGACAACAGCTTTGATGGGTGATGGAGCTTATTAAAATATCTTAATAGGAGGTGATTTCCAATGTCAGTTTTTCAGAATGGTTTCTCAGGGTTGCGATTTTGTGGATTACTGAATGGGGCATGCAGGAAAGACCTTTAGTGACCTTTCTCTGGAAAGAGAAATGAATGGAAGACCACACTTTCACTGCATTTGAAATTAGAAGGTCAATTCTGTTCTGCTTTCTGTGCTTTGATAATGCAACAGTACGACTAAATCAGTAAAAATTCACTCAAAGCAGCCATTATGGAAACTTGGTAATAACACCTTATATTTTTTTTCCCCCTTGAGTGCTTTGCTAATAGGTCTAAAGTGCCAGTGGACAAGAAAGCAATGTTGAAAAGTAGAATGCAAAAACAGTTCGCAATAATTTTAGCCTTAAACCACTTTCTGAAAAACAGTAAATATGTATAAGAGGAGAAACTGTGTCACTAACTTTAAATGAGTAAAACCCAACAAAAAGGCCAGATTATTATTCAACGTTTTACAGTAGCCAACAGGACTTTCAGAGGAAACAGAAACCCTTTTTGCTAGATGCTACCAAGGCCCACAATCTTTTCTGACCATCTCCCAGAAGCCCAAGCTAATCTCACCTTGGCGTTGAATTTGGCAACAAAATCAAAGTGTTTCTTCAGGTCAGTAGCCAGAATCGCCTCTATGACAAGGAAGCGGAAATGCTTGAACTCCACATGGTCCAGGTTGACCAGGAAGTTGTACTCTGGCCTGGACATGAAGAGGTTCCAGGCAGCAGCAGCGTGGTGGTTCTCCAGCACGGAGCGGTCGTTGTACAGCACCGCCTGTGGAAGCAACGCGGGCAGGGGGAGCTGAGGAACATCTCTGCAAGATCGCAGCAATGGATTATTCTGTTCCAGGCCGCAGGTTAATGGCTAATATAACATGGGTGTGTGCTTCCCTCATTCCCAGAATGAACCTCACCTAATGGATTGCTGTCTTTGGTAATTGCACCGGGCAGTTGTGTCCGTGTAGGACTGATTCCAAACACAGAAACAAGAGGAATTCCAGTTTGCAACCTGAAAACACATAGCCTGACAGATATCTCAATGCTAAAATCCAAAATTGGTGAAATCTTGACCAAAATAAGATGTGTAACTCCCATAGTGAGGGTAATTTCAATCACAAAATAACAAGAAAAATATTTTTTCCTATTAATTTTCAAACTAGAAACATACGTTAGCCATACGAAGAGGCTAATCATCTAACTTCCTTTTCTGATTTTTACAAGCACAGAGCTATAGCTCTTGCTTCATTTAGATTAGATTAGATTAGATTAGATACAATTAGATTTAAACATAGTACATGTCTTCTCTCCCAATCTATTTACCTGGCCAGAGTATCAAAGCTGCTGATCACAGAAATGCATTGCAAGAATGAGAAGCATTACTATCAATTCATTGACACAAAGTGGTACCAGAGTGAGTTCAGGGGACTTGCTCTTGGTGACAGAGGAAGTTTGGTTGCAAGCTGGAAAGTAAATCTAGTATTTTTACATCCCTGTCTGACCTGCCACCATTAAGATGTATTTTCTTTATTTCCTCCTCCATAGAAGTATTTTTCAGCACAGGGTGCTGGAGCCAGGCAGGTCAGCTATGTAAAGTAAGGAAAGATGATATCATAATTAAGCCAATAAAGAGTGACTCAGAATTGCTGAATTCAACTCTCAGGACTGGCAGCAACTTCTGTGTAACCTTAGGCAAGCCTCAATTCTACATTTATAACACTGAGATTATTTTCCACTCCCTGCTTCCAAATACTTTCATAAAAAGACTGCAACTGCTCATATTCTATAGAAACAACAGAAAATGTGTTATGATCATGCACAATTAACTTGCAAAGCACAGTCAACTACACAACTGGAATTTTGTATTTAATCTTTCTGTGCATTACTTGGTAGAATAATTCTTCCTTTCTCCCATAGTCACAGATTCTTTATCAGTCAGCAGTGCTTTACCTTCTTCACCGACACAGTTTATTGGTACCTTTCTTAACAGCTCTGCTAACTGAGGGTGTGTAAGAAGACTCTTACCATCAATCCCCAAGTGAAGTGATTATTTCTGTCACTTTGACAAGCTGTTTCAAAATATTTGGCAGACTTGTGCTTAATGGAAGCCACAGTCACCACTAGCAAGGGAAAGCTGTCATCAAGACCTTCCAAACTGTACAGCAACACTGCCTGAGATTTACTTACCTGAGGGGCACTCGTTGCTACCAAGAAGGCATTGGTCCTTCCTGGGTGATCATAATCATGCATGGCTGCAGCTACATAAAGAGCCATCAGCTCCAGGGCAGGGATGTTGCCAGCCAGACATCCGTAGCTGTCGTCTGTAGGTGTGTATGTCTTCGAAAACACATAGCCCATGTGGCCGTGAGTGATTCCACTGTCAGAATCTGAGCAGAAATAAAGAAATGAAAACAATAAAAAAATCCAGGGCCACTTTTTTTTTTTTTTTCCACTGACCTGTTGTAACAGGAGCAATAAAACAGAGAGAGATGGAGCAAATTTATGGTAAGAATAAACGCAGCCTGACCTCAAAGATTTCTGTGCCTGTGATCCAGTAAAATAAGGCAAAAAAATTGGAAAGGAAAAAATTCTGATCCCACCTGAGGATCTTCCAGCCATACAGCAGAATCTATTCTCAAACTATGCAAGTTACAAGCAGTAAGATGTGGATTCACCGCCATGCTGGAGCTTGGTGGGGAAACTTGATCTTCCCACTCATTTCTGTAATTTCTTTCATCATATAGACAAATCTATGAGACACTAATAATCCTTACAACAATGGACTAGAATTTATTAATTAAATTACAGTGAATGTTTTCCAATACAAATGTCTAGACTTTGGATCTCTGCTGATAATCCTCTTATCTTTTTGAAGCATCTTGAGCATACCTGTCAGAGACAGATACTGAGATGCTTTGCTAATTTAATCAGAGCGACCTTGAGTGGATCTTGCACGCAGCTGAACAATGTCTTTCAAATAACAAACATCAAAAAGCCCCAAAACTCAACCCTTTTCATTCTACCTCACCTACTTTTAGCCACTGAAATCCCATGCTAATAAATTTTTAGAGGAATAAAACCATTTTACACCACACAGACAAAAAATAAAAAATAAAAAAAAAATAAAAGAGAAAAAGAGCAAACTCCTGCTTTTCCAGCAGCTCTCTGAGAACTCCCACAAAACACAGACAGGTTCTCTAGTTGCCTCAGCTGAACATGGAGAAGTTTATATAAAAGTGCAACAAGGTGAACAATCGGAAAACAGAAGAGTGGTTTTGTAAAGCAATTGCCAGATGGTAACAAGTCTTTTTATTTGGAGGAAAGCAAAGAACTCTTCATGACAGCCAAGTGCATGGCACTGCCTGCACACCCCAGAAATTGTAGAATAGCAAAACAGTGAATGCTTTAAGGATTTAAGTCTATGCTGCCTCTGTTACAGCACTGAAAAGCATTAATAATATAGCTTTCCTGGGGAAAAAAACCTTTTGTAAAAATTAAATGGTAACAAAGATCTGGTGTTAAAGGTGACCACAGAGCCCTGCATTCACATGTCATTAAATGCTAAGTATTAGGTTTTGGAGGAGCAAATACACTCCCTTCAAAGTTACACAAACACACCTGAACACCTTCAACATCCATTGCAGTACTGAACTACAATGTGTTACAGCTTGCAAAAAATTCTGCATGCAATCCTCAGCTGTTGGCTTTCCTACAGCAAACCCCATGAGAGTAACTTTAGGAATACAAGATTTAAATATACCTGAATCACTTGCTGAGCCGTGGTCATTGATCACAGTTGGGAGGCCTGGGATGGGCTGGGTTGTAAGGTACCACACGGCGTGTAGAACATCAGTGGCATGGATTCGGTTGTGATCTGTGATAGAAAGAAAACCACCCAGCTATAAAACACCAGGATGTTCCTGTCAGAGGGGTATCAGCACCATCTAGTGGGTACCGTGTGGCAGTCAATCCAGCAGAGACAAAACCAACATTGCCACGAGCACCAGGGCTGTTTTCACTTTTCAAAGAAACTAAGAAAAGGAAGATAAATTATTTTTTTATTATACAAGGTGTTCCTCTTTATTAAAACAAAACACACTTAAGAAAAAAACAAGGAAGTAGAGTGTTAGGTACATTAAAATCCCAGAGACTCTGTGAATAATGAAATGTTTTAAACAGAAATGAATGGATTCAATAGAACAGACTGTGGGACTTCCATCTCTAACCTCCTCAGGCTGTAATCTGCTGCTTTAGATCCCTGATCCAATTCAAACACAGGGAAAGGATCGAAATTGGGTCTCTCCCAGAACAGACTCCAAACCACCTGGCTAAAGGCATTTTGAAGTAGCTTTCCTTAAATCCTTCTCACAGTGGCTGCTCCAATTGGTATTTAATATTTTGACAGAGAGACTACATGACTTCTTATAAGGATGTCTCCCACATTTTTCTATGAATGTAGAGAAAACAGGGTGTCCTATGTTCCTCAGTGCTGGGTTTATCTACCAGCTAAACAGGTAATAACTCTTTCCTCTTGAAAAAACAGAAAAAAAGAATCTTTTGCAGCTGAAGCACTTTGGTAAATTTGACTTGAATATGTAAATACTTTGGGGATGACTGAAAACAGGTTTTTCAGTGAATAAATGCTTCCCACTGAAAAATATCAGCTAAGCTGTAGTAACAGAACAGGGTTCACTGATGTATTTGGCATATTTTTTCTGCTTATAAAGTTCATCTCTTTTGGTACCATAGCACTGCTACTGTATAAAAGTCCAAGTTGCCTTTAGGGGGTTAAATGCTTCAAGAACTTCCAACTGGGGTACACTTGCATTAGCAGGAAACAGTCTTTACTTATAATATCTTTATATGATTTCTGGCTTGGGCAGATTTTGACATGAATTATGAAACAATGTAAAAGATGAAATACAAAGAAAAAAAGATGACAGACTCTGCCTAGCCATCCATTTGGTCATGATGTACTAGAAGAAAAAAAATAGCTTTATAATGCAAGGAAAAAAGGCTTCAGTACAAAAGCATATGGAAGATCTTCAAAACTTTAAGGAAGCATCATTATCTGCCAGGAATTTTTACTTACAAGGTATCTCTCGGTATCCACACTCCAAGGCATGAAAGTAGTTCATAAATTCCCTCACTGGTATTTTAAAGGTTTCAAACAGCCCCATGTCTTCAAAAAGCCTGTATGAAACCTGAAAGAAAAAAACAACAAAAAACCCATGCTGCTAAGTAGATGAGAAAACTATAAAAATTAGATATAAAACTCCTTAGGATGAATTACCTAGGGAGTAATTTACCATGAAAATCTGCTTTCCTGGTAGTGTTTTCTCAAATCCTTGAGCCCAATCAATCCCCAGAAAAGGAGGAACAAGCAAAGGACTGACAGAAGGGAGAATTGTGTGGATCCTATGCATTGTGTCCTTGCTTTCTCTCCAATTTTGGAAGTGAAATGATAAAAATTACTTCAAAAGGACATCACAGGCAGCAAATAGCTTAGGAGGCAGAGATGCTTTAAGCATTCCTGCACTGAAGATGACTGTAAACATCCAGGAGAGGATGTATTGGGAAGCAGAATGAGTGAGGAGGTGTTCAGGAAAGGTGAATACTCAGAAATGTAGACAGCAGTTAACGCAAAATGGGAATTTCTGAAGACAAGTTTGAACTTGACAAACAAAACAAAGGGACACAGTGAAATCACTGCCTGACCTTTTCAATTTTTTTTGCAAATTGGACCCTAAAGCCTTGCAGGATCTTTATTTATTTACTGCTGTTAGCTAAATTCTGTCCTTTTGATGGCACCTGCCTGGTAATGACCTGCCTAGAGCTAAGCAACTTGAAGCACATTTGGACTGATGAGTGCTGAATGGCAAGAAATGGTTACAAATTACACTTTGTGTTTTACACCTGAAAGTAAATCAAACATCTGTCCACACCTGTTTATATCTGTATATTTTGTATACAAATTGGGACCTGTGAGCTGTGCCTAAAGTTTAATGAAAACCAACTCCAAATGTCCTGCCACTGTGGATTTTTACAGTAAGAGTAACAAAAAAGGGTATGAATTGGCAGCATTAATGATCTTCCTCCTGCCTCCCCTCACAGTCATTCCCTGCCTGTGAACTAATTCTGGCAAAGCACTACAAGAGGCAGTGATGGTGCAGAGGAAGGTTGAGTGTGGTGTCTGATCCAGGATCACCCTCTAGTGACCAATATCTGACAGGGGGGGTTCTGCTGGGGGCTCAAGCTCTCACTTCTGCACCTACCATAGCTGAACTACTCAACTATTGGGCTCTGGAAGACAAGAATAAAAGGTAGGGCCTGTAAAAGGCAAAACATTACTCTCTGAAATCCCCATGGGATCCCCCTGTATTTAGGCAGAGTGAATAGTATGACCTGATGCATAATTTGGATTAGAATCTGAGTAGAACCCTGTTTATCTCTCTAGAATCATGGCTTAACTGTATAAGATGGGATCCAATATTTCACCTACAGGCAGATGAATCTTACATTCTACTCTTAGGTCAGTGAAATGTAAGCCACTTATTTCCATCAGCAAAACATCTCTGTATAAAAAAAGGAATTGTAATGAAAGAAAATTTGGCAGGACCAAATCTTACTTGTCTACACTAGCAGTACTGGACAGGAATCTTAAATAAAGCATATCATAAAAGCATGGTTTTTCTCCCCTTGGATTCCGAGGGCTGGGAAATTCCACAGTTGAAAAGAAGCCAAGTTGATGTGTAGCAATGACAGCTTTTGCCTCTGGTTTGGAGTAAAATGGCATTATTCTCTGTGGTTGTTAGAAATCCTCCCTCCCTCCCTCCCTCTCTCCCTCCCTCCCTCTCTCCCTCCCTCTTAGCAAATAGGGAGAAAGCAGGTGTAAAATCAGGCCAGAAGGAGTTAAAAAAGGGCACTGATGTTTTCCCCAGAGTCAACTAGCCAAATTCTTTAATTAAAAAAACAAAAACAACAAACCCAAAACCAACAACTGTGCAGCTTTTTTTATTCTTTGCTCTTGATTAAACATTTTACTGTGCTTCTGTCTTTTAAAATACTTTCTTCCCAACCCAGATGCTGTTTCAGGAGCTCTCTAGGAGCTGGAATCCCGTGGGCTGAGCACTCGAGCTGAGGTGTGGCCCCTGCAGCCACAAGCCAGGGACACTCTGACTGCTGCCAGGGGCTTGGCAGAGGGTGCTCCACCACACTGCCTCTCTCCTCCAGCCTCCCTTTCCTGCCTCTCTCTCTCTCTCATCATGGCTAATGCTTAAATGAATCATTTATAACTCAGAGACTTCTGGTGGCGCTGCCTGACGGAGGAAAAGCATTTCTGCACGATTCCTAGTGGAAGCTTTTTTGCAGCTGGGCATTGTTATTCACACACAGTTCCTCTCCCGGGTTTGCAGGCACACAGGAATGGCTCTCCTTGGAGGACATGAGCAAAGTTTAGCAGTTCCCTTCTCGATGCTTGCAGGTGACCCTCTCACAGCCCTTTTCATGTATTGTGTATTTGTGTTCTTCAGATATGTGTTCCTTTGACATTCCTGGCACCTAGAATCTGGCTCTGACAAACTCCTCACAAGGCTGGTGGGATGATCCCAGCAATATCCCATCTCCCATGTGTGATGATGAGAGGGCCAAACAATCCTCTTGTCATGCAGAGACCAACTCAGAGATGCCACCCTGCCTCTGACACTGCTCCCTACTGCCAGCACAGGAGCTCTCCACTTCTCCCTTTGGGCCCAGCTATAAAAGCTAAACCACAGGTTTTAGTCTTACAGGAGCTGTAAGAAAAGTGTTAGGTGGGACTGAAGATGTTATTGAATTTTATGGCCTGTTACGAAGCAACAGCTCAGGTCTGAGAGCTTGGCTCTTCGTTTCTGAAGTGAGACTGAATGCGTGTTCCTCCCTAAACCCCATCATGCATATTTGTCACTGCCACGTTTACTGGGCTTGCCACTGCAGTTTGCACAGATGCTTTCATGGTTCCTGACTGGTTTGGGGTCTTTTTATATGTCTAAATCAATTTAACATTCCACAAAGAAGGAACAGATATCTCAAGCAGCTTCAAAGATACTAAGCCAGCATTTGCTTTCTAAACTGAATGCTTCCCTAGAGGCATGTGTCAGGTTTGCTTTGTTCCATCTCATAAATTTAACCTAGCATGGCAAACATAGTTAATTCAGTTTTTTAATTTACTATTTTTTTTAATGGGTTAGTCCATTTAATAGCAAAATACAGAGAATAAATCATCAGAGCTTTTGTTTTCCTTTGTTAATAATATCCCAGGATTGAAAAAATCAAGCTAGAAAAAAATAGTGCTTTTGGCTGGAGAAAAACATTTATTTATTTTAGTTTCCTGATTTCTGAAAAGAATTTCATTAGCAGCAACTGAGTAGGTGGGGGTAATAAGGATCTATGTTTTGTGAACAAGGTTGAACTTGTTACATTCCGCTGTTAGGGAGAGGGAGTTATTATAAACAGCTGTTACAGAAAATGTTGAATTTTCATCACAAATATTAAAGCTTCTCTATTTTATTTCACAAGCCTCATTTTGTGGAACTGTGAAGTGGATAACATGTTAAGAACCTGTGCAAAAACCAGATTTTGGGAAACATAGTGAGGAGATTTAGTGCAATTTGAGGGAACCATAGAGAACTTGTGTCCAGAAGTACAGAACCCCATGCAGCTTGGTAAAGTGCTTAAAGCCTACAGAGGTATCCACGTAAAACCAGAACAAATTTTGCCTCATCCAAACCGTTTGTAATGCCACCAAAAAGAAAGTTCTTGTTTTCCTTATGTTTCATTCATCATTCTCTTATCATTCCATGCTATTAGAAAAATGAGCATTATGATCTAGAAGAGCATTTCGATCACACACTCATTGTCTAGTGCTAAAGTGCCTCAGTGAGCATCAATTTATCCAATAAATATATCCAACATCCAGAGTTTGCCTATTTCTCTAAAATGAACCTAGAGACTTGGCAGGCTGGTCAAACACAGATGTTGCTTGCCAAGCTGCAGAACACGAAAAAGCAGACCACAGAAGAAATTTGAATTCATGCCATGATTTTCCTTGTTGACCACCAGATAATTGAATCTAGCTGAATAATAGGTAACCACCAAGGGACTGTGATTTGATCCAGCATTCTTTGAAGCTTGTTACACTGAAATCTGCCTGACACACTAACCTCTGTGTTTCTGGGGAGGGTGTGGGGTGGTGATAATTGTACCACATTGAACCAATTAACTTTATCTCTTCTTTGCAGCACTCATCACTACATAATGCCTTGTAAAGTGATACTCGTTCAGTGAGATTCTCTCGGGCTTTTTTCCCTTTCATCCCTAAATAATAATAGAAATAATTACTTGCTTTTCCTGTTTAATAATCTTCAATACTTTCATAAGAAAAAATGACTAATTTGTCAGGGTGCCAGGAAAAGGGGCATAAGAGAGTAGAAAGTTCAGCCAAGAAAGTGATTATGGAGAGTGACACTAATCATGCTGGGTACAGACAGGCTGTGTCAGTAACTGAATTAAACCCACAGGAAGCAATAAAAACCTGAGAGCTGAAAGAAAGACTAGTAAGGTCTCCCATCCTGACTCATAGCAAATTAGTCTTCTCTACTTCATATTATATGAATTTTCTCTCAAAGTTCTGATTCTTTAAAAATGAGGGGGTATAGCAAGAAGTCTTTCTACCCCCATTCCTCAAACCTTGCTTTCTTGCCTAGCCTGAAATCTGAGATCTTTTATTTCTGGGATCTTATACTGAAAGCTTCAGTATAAAAGAGGACCAAAACTCTGTATATCTTGCATCCACTGAATATATTTACTGTTTAGCCCACCCATTCTAAACCCCACGAGAAACCCTTTCCCAAAAAACTCAGGAAGGGCTGGAAGCATCTCAAGAGAATATTCAGAAAAGCAGACAGCAGAGAAGAAAATAGGTGTGTGATTTTTTTCTTTCACATTTTTAAATCTAAAAATAAAGACACTGAAAAGTAAGGAATATAATGAGACAAAGTTCATATTGTCATCTTTGAATTAGGTGTCAGGGATCACAGATCATTGGATCATCAGCTTGCAAGGAAAATGCATTTTAACACATCTGTGTCTAAATCTGTCAACATTCTACCCAAACACTGCAGACAAAATAAGCCTCTCACCTGACTGAGAATCCGACCACACTTCTTTCCTATTTTTTCCACCAAATCAAAGATTGGGAAGTTCCAGCTGTTTAGCTGCTCCATCAGGGGATCCAAGTTGTCCATAACCAGAGGCTCAGGAGCCAGTACAGGCTTGTCCTGTGCCAGAAATCAGAATAAAAAGGATTGTTAGTTCAGTGAAGCATCTCGAGCAAAAATTTGTCCTCTTAAAAGCTGAAGTCACATTAGCATCATGTGTAAGTCAGTGGTACTTTACTCAGCTCAGCATAGATGTCCTCATTTCTTGCAGCCCTGCAGCTACTCACTCTCCTTTGTAATGTGTTTCACTTGAATGGATAGGAAATTCTGTTTATGAAACAGCAGTGTCAGTGCACTCAGCACTGAGACTCATTCATTCACTCATGGGAATCATTCATTCATTTCCAAGGGAGTCTGCCTTCATTGTGAAATTCACTGTGGTACAGAGAGAAAAGCTCTCAGTGTCTGCTGCTGCATCAGGATCCATTCACCATACTCTAACTTGGCTAACAGACCTCAGTCCAAGCGAACGCTTGTACTCCTTGGACTGAAACCTACCTGGTTTCAAGGTCTGCAAATAAAAGATGGGTTGTGCCCCTCCTTTCACATTTCTCCCTGGAATTTCATTTTACTTAGAAACTGGAGATGAGTAAATGCCAGAACATTTCAAACAAAATGCCTTCTCTAAGCATGTCCAACTCCAACATATTGCAATACATTTTTCAAGAGCTCCTGCCAACTTCAGATTATTAATTCAGTTGTACAACAGACTGGCAAACTTAACTAAACAAAGCTTTCCCTCTGCATCTCAACCAAGCTCACAGCTGAATGCTGTAAGACAATTATCACTTGTTCACCACACTGCAACATTTAAGACATGCACCTACAATAACATCTTGCAGCACCCTTAGACCACATTTTTTCTGTTTTCAGTTTTCAGTTAGTTTGGTTTTAGTTTTGGGGTTTTTTCCCCTCAGTGTCACCATACACTCAGCCTGTTGTGCTGGGGGAACTAAGAGGAGCTACCTCAGGTGGTATCAAGGGATGCAGGATGATGGTCTCGGGCGTGTAGGACCTACAGCTGGATCCCTTCCGAGCCTGCTCCTTGGAGCAATCTGTGTCGTCGTCGTTCTGAACGATGTCACTGCTGTCACTGTTGTTGGTCTCGTAGTCAGAAGTGGCTTGAGCAGGATCATCTGCAAACACAAATCACAAAGCTTGTGGTGTGAACAGTGAAGGTTTCATGGAAGTCATCCTGTGACCTTCTGAATAACAGCAACAGGATCTCTGACTCATAATACATATGTGCTGCTTGGCTGGCTCGGAAGTCCGACAATCTGTCCAAGGGCATTAAAGATATACCCTGCAGAGTGTAAAGAATGGCATCAGGGAATGAAGAGAGAAATTAATTCAAGGACCATTATTTAAGTAAATTGAGGGAAACAGTATATCCCTTTATATTTTAACTCCATAAGCTTTTTTTTTACATTTTGTACTTACGAAAAGGGAAGGAGCCTCAAAGACAATTTGAATGGACTCACCTGTGTGTGTTCTCTTCTTATGACTGACAAACTCATCTGCCCTTTTAGTGGATGATTACTGAGTTTGAGGGAATGAGGTGTTTTTGACAAAGAATTACCTGTTCTGTTCAGGGTGTGTGTAGTAGCATCATTTCTATTTAGTGTTCCGTCACCAGCTTCTATTTGGTTGTAGGGTCTGCCACAGCTGAAACACATCAAGAAACACACACAATATGAAGAATCACGTGCCTTAGGCAGTCTTGTGTAAAATGATTTCCCACTGGCAGTGTGAGATTATGTCATACAGTATAAGCCATGGTCCAGGGTACATTCTCCAGACAAAATCACAGGAGAGTGATGAAGTTTTATTACATCTTGGGAAAAAAATGCAGAAAGACCTTGGATCAGCTGCCCACCAGCATTAAATTTGTGTTTTCAATAGTAAACCTGAACCATGGGATTTCTTTAAATGATTTTTTTTTTATTATTCTCTAACTATACCAGCATAAAATAAATCCCCTAGTTCTATACTAGAGCTGCCCTATAAAGATGAGTTAAAATAATGAAAATGTGCCAGAGTCCCATACAATCTTACAGAATTCAGTTTGAACACAGTCATCATCTGGCTTCACTCTTCTTGCTTAAAACTTGAATATGTTCTTAAGCAGGAAAATTATATTTTATCATTTCTTCAGTGACAGCATGCCAAGTACATAAGAACCAAGAGGGCAGAGTTTGCTTCATCATTTCCAGTACAGAAACATATTTTGGGAGGAATCACAATATTATGACCTTTTAAAATGACTGGCTCTTCCCTTCCATTAAAAATCTTTATTCCTTGTGTATAATTCCCTTTAAACCCTAATTACAACCTGACATTTTAACATTTTCTCTGGTTTGAGTCAGCATTTTGTGGCATATCATATATAACAGTCTTCACAAAGCAACTATTACAGAATTATTTGGATTGGTCAAACTTTGTACCAGAACCTTTGCACCATTTTAAGTTCAACATTTTGAAATGGCTTAGCTCTTGTGCCAGCTAGCTTTTGACTGGGTCATCTAAACATATCCTGGAGCTTGATATGCCCTGAAAACATCATGAGCTCCTGAAAGACTTTCAAATAAAAATGCTAATCTGTATTCAATGATACCTGTAGTGCACAGCCAAGCAAATAAATCTCGTATCAATCAGGTTGATAAACAAGATGAAAATGGTATTAATTTCATTACTATCTACAACAACCTTGCATTGATTTTTATTGAATTTTTAATGCAATTATTAACTGTTCTTTTTAATAGAAGGTTTCCAGAAATGAAAGCCACTTGTGAAATAACAGTATTTTGTTGAAGTGGTAATAAAAAGCACAGCTTAATAAGACTGCAGTACCTTTATGCTGTATTTCTGTTGTGTTATATAGTTTCAATTTCAAATGAATCTGTCCAAATCCCAATTTTGGTATACCTTTGGAAAACTCTTAAAAGCACTTAAGTCTCTATTTAGTCTTCTGTCTCAAAAGCTTGTTTGGATCCTCCTCCAAACTCCAGCGAGGATGACTCCCTTGAGCAAACTTGCAGTCTCAATTTTGACTTTCTCACAGCCACTTCCTATCCTTGCACACAGCACACTGAGACACATCCAAAGTCATGTGATAGAAGTCAGAAACTAAGAACTATTTCCAAAGATAGTCAAACTTGATAACAGCCGTGCTCTCTGCTGGCTGGCCACTTGTGCTATGACCAAAAGTAACTTCTGGTGAGTAAAGCAACCTTGAAACTGCACTGGAACAGGCTTGGGAATACCAGCGTTTTCCACTATTCTGAACTGGACACATATTGCAAGCTCCAGTAATTTGATTTAGCAACTGAATCCTGTCTTAGAAAATAAGCAGAACAACTTTTTTTCCAAAAATGCTGATTTTGCAAAGCAGGTCTGGTCTGTGTTACCTAATAAAGGGCTTGACTTGACTTGACTTTTTTACTTTTGTGTTACTGGAGCTCTTAGCAGTAGATATAACTCATCTACAGTTAATTTCTGAAAAAAAATAATCCCCACAGTACCTAATCTGACTGTGGTTGGGAAGACACATCCCACTCCTTCTGAGAGAAGGCTCAAATTGTGGAGTTTTCAGGCACTGTTTGCCCTAACAGTCAGATTTTTCTATGCAACATCAGGTGCCTGATGTGGAATACTTGGCCTGTGACATAAAGGTGACTGCTGATGTCAAGGGCATGACTCCAGAAGCACAAGTTGTAAGCACAAAATCCACCTTTGGGATCTGCAGGTTATTGACAAAGCATTTATTTAGGAATCGGGCTGTCCATCTGACAGGAGTAAAAGCAATAAACATAGCAATAAACATAGCCAACAGTCTTCCACTTTAAAAGTATTTTGTAGCATTGATCTGCACATTTACCTAAGTACTATAAACCTGAAATATCAATATAAACACTGTAGTAAATGACAAAAGCTTGTATGTGGGCCAACAGAACAGGTTCATGAGAACAATGTGAAATGATTCCAAGGCCTGTCAAATTATCATCTTACCTGCTGCAGATGATGGAGGGGCTGATAATAGGGTCTGACAGGCTAGGTGCACTCTGAGTAGAAGTTAAGACTTTGTGTGGCTTTAAGCTCTGCTTGGTGTCAGTGTCTGTAGGCTCTGGAAATGACACAGAAGATGTTTTTCCAGTAGGACTTGTGGCAGGCGTCCCCTGAATCGGCGAATGGCACGGGGAGGTGAGAGGTGAAATGTTTGGTGGGATACCTGGCCAAGGACAAGAAGAGTCTCATCAATTAACAGAAGTGGCAGATGGTTGTATTAGTTTACTGTGCAGAAATGCTCTTCTTGAGATGCACCAGCATAGTCTCCAAAAACACAATAAATAACAGATTCTCCATTCTGAGCCAAGGCCAGGGCTGGAGCCCTACCAGCCACTTTTACCTGCTGAAGATCTGGCTCAAAACACAAAGCATATTTTCCCAGCTGAGCAGGATGCACTAACTGGACAGGCATGAGATGAAGGACAAGTTTTTGTGGCACAACTGTTGGTATCAACATGTTCTTGTGACAGAGACACACAACCCCAAACAGGCAGTTTCCAGACCCATCTGCAGTTTTTCTGTCACCATCTGTAAAGCAGGGTCAAGGAAGGCTTACACACTTTCCCAGAAAATTTGTATTTCCACTGAAGACTAGCAATAAACCAAAAATAACAATTTTTAGCAGTCATACATTATACAAAATACTGTGCTTCTGGGGCCATTTCTTATAGGTTTTGGCCTTGATCTTCAGCTTGAGTTTATTTTTCAGTATCTGTTGCTCGCTAAGGGAGACTTGCAACCATTACTGCAGCACACGGTACTGGACACCTGAGCTAGAGTATAGAAATTGCCAATATCCAGATGTGCAACACTAGCAAGATGTAGTTCTCTCTGTCCCTTTTTCCACCTAAGAACCATGCCAAGGTGAAATGCATCAGCCAGTCCAGTGTTTAAACAAAGTGCTGCCTTCTCTTGGAATCCACTTTACAATTCCTAGTCTCAGACAAAATGAGACTCAAAGCCCAGAGGAGCAAACTTAATCTGTCTTAAAAGGAAATGCACAGAAATTGAGTTAACTTCTGTTCTGAGGTTTGTAGGAACTCAGCCCCAGTTAATTTACCACATTCATCTTCAATGCCAAGGGATATCAAGGCCTTAGGAACTTGAATTTTACCCTTGATATAAATGCCTTCCAGACACAAAAATTATCTTAAAATAAGGTAATATGTTGATCTGTGTTTATGAAATATTAACCTTGCAGGATATACATGTACAGTTCCAGTGTTTTTTCCCTGACAGCAACTTACTGTGATAGGAGGCTAAAATTTGATTTACTGCTGACAATGCGAGAGTTAAAGTAAATTCTGACAGTTGCTTTGCTGTAATTTGGAGATAGCCAGCATCTCAGTTTTAATTAAGGCTATTTCTTCAGAAAAGGTATTATGTATTTTGTGTCTTAATTCAATGATTGCAAGTAGAATATAATTCTAGTCTTGAGATCAGAACACTACAGCCTCCAGAGCAATTAAAATGTTATCAGATGGCCATGACACAGGGAAATCGCTTTAAAAGACAGAAAACCTCTATTTCACATTTATGAATTCATTGAGATATCAGCTTTCCATCCAACAAAAATATGTATTTAAAAACATTTCAGAGTCTGTTAGTTGCACAGGGAATGGAGTTGGATTATTATCTATCTTTGAGATATGTTACCAAGTAATATTCATAACTCCTAGAGGATGCAATACATATGGCCATCTTTCAACAATTTGAAACAAGTCCTGAGAATATAAACAGCACTTTTTACAATAATGTCTCTAATCACAGCAAGCTTTTTACTTCTGGGAAGGATCCAGTGTCTGGAAATATTTTTTGTTGTGTGTGTCTATGTTTTTATTAGAAAGTAATTCACCAGGGAAGGTAACCACAAATGAATAAAATTACCAGAAAAAAGAAAATATTTTTCCAATAATTCAACATTCAACCATTTACTGGCAAAAGTGAGAAAAGATGTGTCTTGCTACAGCAAGGATTTTTTCAGCATCAAGATAAGAGAAGAATAAAAATAAAATGAGAAATTTTTAAGTACATCCATGCACTTAGGTCCTCCAGAACTTCTTCAAATGTGCAGTGTTGAAGATATGAAACAGTGACTTCAATGTGATGTGAAATTATATGTATGAAAACACTTAGGTTTTTTCCAAAATAGGTAGAGCTAGCAGTATTTTTAAATGTGAATATTTTCATGCATAATAAAAGACACATTTTATAAATTAATATATTTTATATTTACAGTTTTAGCTAGATCAACTTCTACTAATTGTATATTGCCAATGGGGCTAATACATAAAAGTCTAAATTGTATTAACTAGTGCAAATTGGAAGAATTATTTAGCTGGAACATGAAAACAAATCATAACTAAAAATACATGATTGTACATAGTCTAGAGTATTGTAATATCAATTTTCTACATAAAACACTGATGCAACATTTCTACTCCTCTCCACCAGGAATTGCTCATGATGGAATGGAGATCTCCCTTCATCATGGGACAGCTCTTGTATCTGGACAACAGAGAAAATTATTAATAATTTCTGAAAGCAGAAATTGCTCAGTGTAAAACTGACTGATGATCTTGGTAATTCTTATTTTCCAAGTACAAGATATTATACAACCACTCCTCTCCTTTACAATTTACTGGGATAATCTCTAATCTCTGAAAATCACAAGTCAAATGTGTTTTTTTTTTTGTTCTAAAGCAAATTCCTGGGTTCTTGTTACTATGTCTCCATTATTTTCCAGGTTAAATTTTATTCATTTCCCTATGTGCCTATTACTTTTTAAGATAATATCGTGCTACTTAATCTTCACTGTGGTAAAACACAGCAGCTTTGTACAAGAAAAGATCTTTCATATTGTTCTCTTCAGTTTGAAAAGGCAACACGATGTGGCAGCACTAGAAACGCAAAATAATTGTGCAGCCATATCTTCAAACTCATCTTTAAGTCAGAACCTTGGGATTCTCTGACTTTTCCAGATGGCCTCAGCCATCCATCCATCAATTTCTATGTGATAGCTGGGTAGCCAGGATCTCTGAGTACTATTATTTCAATAGTATTTATGTTTGGATAAAAAGCAGGCTGGTAAGAGAAAGGAAGGCCTTGTGGTAAATTTGAATTGTGAGTTGAAGCATGTGTATACAGCATGGTATACTGCATTTGTAGGAAGAGGAGAACCACATTATTGTGGATTAAAGCTGCTTCAAGGCTGTCATATTACACATTTCATTACCAATTCCAAAGTCACCTTCTTAATTTCTTTCAGGAAAGAAATACAGGATGCTTTTTTTAAAGGCTCAAAAGGTTGAGTGAAAAAACCCATATTCCTTATCTCTAAAAACCGGTAAGAACGACCTGTATTTTCCCAACAGTGAATATATAGAAGTAGACCTCTGAGTTACAAAGGTTGTACCTTGGATATGTTTGCATTAAGACAAGTTAGTTGCTGCTTCCAGCTCAAAATGGAGTTCTGTAGTTCTGAAATCTCCAATATGCACAGACAGCTAATGTCACAAATGTTATGCAAAGCCCCTGCTATAGGCAAGGGAATTATAAAGATATAAATCACAATTTAATATTTCACTCGCTGCATCGTGTCATGACTAACTTCTATAAACCAAAAGAGTCAGAACATTCACAAAGGGCACGACTACAATCTATAGTACTTTAAGCAACTGTGTTGGGTTTGTTTTTTTTTAAATAAAAGAAATAACTATATTATATTGATGGAAAAATAATAAAAGCAGCAGGTTGGACAGAGAACAAAAGCAGATGCACCAGTCACAGGGAGCAGTTTAAGCAGGGCTTGGGATGCCCACTCACCTTGCCGGCTCTGCCTTTTGGCATTCAGGTGGTTGGTAGAGGACACGGCGTAGGAGGTGGAGAAGGACCTGCTCTTTGTGATTGTCATCAGAATGGAGCTGTTCCAGGAGTCAGAGCTGCGAAAGCAGAGCACAAACAAGCAACACTCAGCACAGGAAAAAGCTTCACTGGCAGATCTTAGGAAGTTAGATCACAAGAAGTATGTGATACTGAGGTAGCCCAAAATCTGGTGAGGGAAACAACGTCTATGGGTTTTCTGAACTGGTGCTTGTGAGGCACTCAGTACCACGTTCAGCAAAATATTTACACTGCAGACAGTCCAAAGCTGGGCTTCCCTCAGTGTTGAGGCCTACTTGCCTTCTTTATACAAAGATGCCTTCATTGTCTTGTTCTGACAGTATAAAGAGGCTCAAAAGTTGACTTGAAATAAGTTAAAAATATGTTCTATTTTAACACCTCCTTAAAAGAGCCAGAAGTGACACAAATTCTCAGAAGGACTGGAAAACCAGTGTTCTCTGCTGCTGGTGCCACAGCAGATCCACAACAACCCTCGGGGCACTGGAGGAACTCCTCAGGAGGCTGGGGAGGACTGGGAGCATCCTGCATGGCTGTGGTTAGTGGTGTATCCCTTCATGCCCTAACTAGGTGAAATGCCTGCTGCATCACCCAAAAAATCCCCCTCTCAGACCCTGGAGACACTGGTGGAAGAGAATAGTGCTGAAGGAATCCAGGTGCATGTGTCCATGTATGAGGGGAACAAATGTTAGCCCCCTACAACTGCATGGGTTTATGTTTGTAGCCTTTAGGCTGCAATTGTATGTCAGAAGAGACCAAAATCTTCTGTACAGCAGGAAAACTGTATTTATAATAATTTTCCTGAATGGCACCAAATTTCAGCTTCTTGCAAGGATGCAACACTGGCTCTTATCAATGCTTGTGAGCTCTCTGGACAGGTCTGCCAGGCATCCCAGGCTCCACATTCCTCCTCACAGCCTCACATCCAAGTGATGAAGTGACACTCACAGCTGCAGACAGACTTTTAAAGCAGCATAGCTCCAGCTGAGCTTGAAAAAAATAAACTTGAAGGGAATAAAAAAAAAATAAAAAATCATTCTGAAAGAAAAAAAGCATGTGACACTGTGTTACCTCTACAAACATATTGTTTTGGAATAGTAGGTGCTACCTACAAAAATACTTGCTGGTTGTCTTCATGGGCCCAAATTCTTACAATCTGTGATGAAGTGAGGCAAAGAAAGAATACAGATTTTTTTGAAAACAATTTGTTTGTTTTATGGTTTTGCTTTGTTTTTTAATTGGCATAAAGAATATAACACTCTGGCCCACTGTACAGTAAAATAACCCCAATGAACCAAACCAAAACAGAAATCTCTGAAACACATTCTTTGAGTTCCTACAGGAGAATCACTCGATATAAAAGTGGGTGAGGGAAAGAATGTGGGAGCTCCATTAGCTCTATTATCTGTCTACCCAATTCAGTGACATGGGGTTGGAAGCATACAGAATTACTAATCTCACACTGACAGTTACGGGGGATTTTTGCAAATATGTGACTACAGAAATCCAGAAGAGAAGTCCCACATTGTGAGGAACAAGTCGCATGTTTTGTAACTACAGAATCTGCCACAGGGAAATTCCAGCCTCTCTCCTACCCTTCAACTTATGAAATTTTTCTTTTTCTTTGTGACCAGAGCAGCATCTGAATTTGGTACAGGGGAAGTGGCAGATAACCAAGATATATTTTTTTTCTCTTCAGTTCAAAATTATTCTCCATGAAAGCAGATCTCTCTTGGTCTGCCAAAATTTTTAAAGCTAGACTTATAGGATTCATTTTCCCCCTTTCTGGAATACACATTGTTTCTCCTACTGTGAAAGAAGTAGTGCAAACAGTAGGCTGGGAGGCTTGACAAAGCTATAATTATACAACTGGAGACATTAAACATAGGAAGAATTGATAGCCTGCTTAGCTGGCTCCTCATGCAGAGTTATATAACAACCGCAGGAAAGGACCAACAATAATATTTAATTGCTCTCCTTCTCCCTCTGATTCCCATCTCGGGATGCTTGCACACTACGTGAGAGTGGGACCAGCAGCATAAATCAAATGCACCCCAGGAACCACAGGTCTGTGAGAGAAGAATGTTTGCATTTGGTTACAGCTTCCTTATATTTACTTTTACTGAGACAGATGGGAGTTCTCAGAAAGGGAACTTTGGCAAACCACGTATTTTTCTTGCATGAGACTTTCAGGGTACTCTGCAGGCTGCCTTGAGCACCTCCATACCCTGTATGACAGTCTCAACCATGGGAAACATTTAGGTACCTGAAGAAAGGCCAGCCTTGGAAGAAAACTGCTCTTTGGGGCTGCATTCCCCCAAACTATCCAACAGCCAACAGTGGCGATGTTGGGCCTTCCAAGGTCCTGTCTTTTCTCCACTACCAGCACCAGATTTTGAATTTCAGAAAGGCACGTGAGTCTTCTGATGTCACAGCTCTGAATTCTCTTATTGAATGTAATGCTTTCACTCTGATCTTCCTTTCCCCAGGGCAAAGCATGTCTCCACACTCTTTCTTCATTTCACCAGCTCCAAGATGACAGCCCTTGCTGAGGTGGGGAGGGGACCTGAACCTTATTCTCACAGCATGGTACCACAACTCACTGCTCTCCACCCTTCCTTGGAAAGCTCTGCTCCTCTCTGACTAGAACAGAAGAGTATTCACAGAGCCAGAAAGGAGGAAATCCTGCTGTAATGACATGATGTGCAGCTATTACAATTTTATTACAAACTCAGCAAATTCCCCAAACAAGTTGTTTGCTGGCTATAAGAAGCTGAGCAGACACAACTCTCCATTTCATGGGAGGACCATGTGTTTCATGATACCAGCTCAGGGATCAGACCCTGAGAAGAATGGAAGATGGAGAAGTGCTTTATGAACTGGTTTAATGAGAGGACCACATCATTAGTTGTGTTCTTAGAAATGGCTGGGTTAACTGCTACAGTTTTTTCTTGGCTGGGAAATAACCACACAGGGCACCCTTGCATACCAAGGAAACTTCAACCAGATATCTTGCCGTTCTTCCAATTTTACTGGGCAGTTCTGCACTTCATTAGCACAAATAGATTTTTTTAAAATTTATTTTTCTACCCAAAAATATGAATAATTTTGGCATAATCTGACAAAAAAATGGGAATTCTGCTTCTTTGGCAAATCAGTTTAGAGTATGATGAAGAAGTAATTCTAACACAGTTCACAGCCAGTATTTTTGAATGCAGGGCATCGTCACACAGAACCAAAGAAATCTGCCCAAAGAGAAACATAAAGGTGAGAGGAGGCCATTTGTAACCTGGATGAAGATGATTCGTGGGGTTTGATGCTGGCACTGCGATCCCTTCTCACTGGAGCTGGCTCCAGGGTAGGCAGTCCTGTGGCTGATGTTGTTGTGGTCCAAGTTGAGGACACTCGTCTCAGCAGTCCTGGAGGCAAACTTCTCCGTAAGCGCTGCGGAGAAATCAGTTCCTTACAGTTTGTACAGGCTTACAAAACCTCCACACATGCAGAAATAAAACCATTCCCATTTGCTTCATTCTGTCTGACAATACCTAGTGGGGTACTTTAAATCTGGGTTCTCCCAGGTGTTACTCATTTCAGACACACCTTTAAACACATGGAGAGTCTGGACCATCCTCCCTACCTCAAATTTAAAAAAAGGTATATGTCCACAGCCCCAGAGCCACAGATGTTCAGCACCTGATGTGGCCAAAGGTACTTAAATAAGTTAGCAGGGCCATAAAGGTGACTGAAGCATCTGCCATAAAAGGAAAGGCTGTGGGAGTTGGCATTGCTCAGTCTGAAGAGGAGAAGTATCAGGGTAGATCTTACCAGTGTACACAAATACTTAAAGGGAGGGTGTAAAGAAGAAGGCTTTTTCCAGGGGTGCCCAGTGACAGGACAAGAGGCAGTGGAGCAAGAACTGAAGTACAAGAAATTTAATTAAAATGTAGGAAAATATTTTTTACTGTGAGGAGGACAGAACACAGAGAAGTTGCAACCTGATCTAGGCTGAGCCTAGAGAAACTTTCTTCTCAATGAGCTGAGGGATAGAACTGGACCAGACACTCTCCAGATGGACTTTCAACCTCAACTACTCTGTGATTTAAACTGATATGAATCCTCAGAATCAGAGATTCAAGGCAAGAAAGGCTGTAAGAAAAACAAGGCAGGGGAGCTCCAACTTTTTTCCCTGCCATATCTACCCAACCCAAAGATAACATATAAAATAAATAAAATAAAACCCTCATGCTCTGGGATATGATGTCTCAAAAAACTTAGAGAAAGCATCACTGTTTACAGCAGATTTTTCTTGACTGCTTTTCTTTCACCCGACCCTTCTATTTCTCCAATTAACAGGATTCACATGTTTTTTTTCAAATTTTTGAAGGCAAAGATAATACAGGATCTTTTTTGAGTCCAGATTTGCTTCTGCATATCCTATAATTTTTAAGTTGTTTCTCTTGTGAAGTTCTCATGAATTGTTTATAGTTAAGAACTAAAATAAATATATCTGCAATGGAGAGCTTGGGCTTTGCCAGAGGGTTTAGAAATATGAGATGGAAGACATCTGTGGTTCTGAAGCTCAAAGTTGCATATAAATATGTTAACACATTATCTCCTTACACAAAATGCTCACTGTCAGATCCTTAAGGTGAAGGTCCTAAATCTGCTTTTACACACTTTAAATAAAGACCTGCAAAATATTTATTTTATGAACCATAGTACATTTAGGTCAGTGAATTCTTCAATCAAATTAGTTCTCTGTAGCATTAACTCATTTCTTCATCCTTCATTTCTCTTTTCCTCATAAGGTATTATGCAACAGCAAACTGGTATCTGCTCCCTGTGTGTGCTCATGTGATAGCAGTGCTCTTCCACTTAACTCTTCCCCTCAGAGCCCAGCCATTATAGAGATGGTCACTAAAATAAACTGGAAAATGTGCTTAAAAACCTGTGAACATCCATTTCATCCATACAACTGCTAAACAGGCAAATAGGGTGGTAATTATCATCATGCTAAACTATAATAAAAGAATCATGAGCATTGCAATTCAGATGCCTGGAGATGCTGGACTGAATGGCTGTGCCATTTAAACTGTAAAAACATAAAAAGCATTCGCCTGTGCAATGTACTCTGCCTATATTTAATTTTACAAGGGAGGCTGCAGTACAAAAGCATTTTGGTTTAGTGTCAGAAATGAAATGCAAGCCATGCAGGACAGCTAATTAACAACAAACCTACAACTCAAACCACTTCAAATCTGATGTGCTCTTTCTAGCTCTTCACTTGCTAAGTGTGGGTGGTTAACACCGGTTATTTCTGATCCCTGAGCATTCATAAAGCCATTTTTCAAGGCAGTATTATATGTATATTTGTGGTTCTGTCTTCTTTTTCTTCTCAAGACAACTTCCATGAGCTCACAGTGTTTGTCAAACTAATGACTGTGATGATATTTCTGTTTGTTTGTGGGGTTTACAACAGTTCAGACTTCATCCAAAGCACATGAAGGTCATCAATTGACCTTCTTCATTGACTTCTGTAGGCTTCACCCTTCTGATTAAGGGAAGGAAGAAGAGATGGCAATTCATACAAATTCCTACAAAAATCCCAGCCTGACAGCCCAGCAATGTCCCTTTAGGGACAGCCAGGCTCCGGTACTCACCTTGGGAATAGCTAGCTTCTCTCCTTTCTCCGGACATTCCTCTGAGTCCGAGCAGGTGTAGTTCTCACTGAAGGACACCATGGGATTCACCCTTGGCTTGTGGATGGCCTGGAAGGTTAGCTGTGTATTGAGCAGGTTGCTGACTGTTCTCAGCGATGTGCACACATTGGGGGGCAGTGAAGGATCAGCCAGAAGGTCTGTGATGAGCCCGTGTGCTTCTCCCATGACAGCGATATCCACGGTGATACTGGTGCCAGAAGACTAAAGAGGAGAGAAATAATCCATGTAAGACAACTGAAGTGAACAACCTGGGTACTACCTCAAGCTGTGGTGAACTCTCTTCACAGAGAAGAGAGTTAAAACAGTTGCAGGTGGAAAAATAATAACATGAAATAATTCTTTAATTACAGAGTACAATGCTGAAAAGATGGATCAACAGTCTGCAAAGACTTTGGAATTCCATCATATCTGATTTCACAGCTTTCACCATCTGCACCTGACTTAACCCATCTGAATGAATTGTTCAGGCTCTCTATGGAGACATGGTCAATAGCCAGGGCAAATTTGCACAAATAATTTTGGAGATAATCTGTTGAGAGATGCCTGAATACTAACTACAGAACAACAAATCTAGAACAACTAATCTTTAGTGCTTATGCCTAGATGAATGAAATTAACCCCAAGCATATACTGAAATTTGTATATCTCTGTGGAACTAAACTGCAGTATTCTGGTATGGTAGCAACAACATTCTTCTCCAAGAAATTGAATATTGGGCAGCTATACCAAAACTGAAATGGAGGAAAAAGTGGATTTTTTAAACATTAAAGTTTTCAAGTCTGTGAATTGACAGCTATATAACACAATTGCAAAGGAGTGAGCATCTTTCAACTCTAATAAAGAACAGCAAGACTTGGATGCACACAGAAATAGAACACCTAAAAAGGCAGGAGGCATATGGAATTTCAATGCAAAAGTGACATTTCAGCCTCACTTGGTGGTGCACTAAAACCCACCATAAATTCTGCATGGAGCTGCTAATTCAAGGCACTCCAAGAGTGACCACTTTCCCTTTGTTGTGTCTCTGACACATCAGCTCAGTCCTGCTGCTACTGTTTGGAACTTAGTAGGTGTACGTGCAGTTTCTCAGAGAGACCATTGCAGCAGATTTTGTACTAATTTGCTTTCATGTATTTCTTAGAAAAAGCTAAAAGACATAGTTTGCTAAATGGGGAAGCTATGTCTGTGAAAAGAGCACACAAGTTACTTGGAGTTGCAAGCAAAGAGCATGGAGAGTTGGTCAGACTTAGAAGGAGAGTGATTAAAGCCCCAGCCAGGAATGACTCATCAGTGACAGCATTCATGGACCTCAAAACACAAGGAACACAACTTGACACTGCTTTGTTCTCAGAAAAGGCTTTACAGGCAATAAAAAAGTACTTTTGAGGAAAGTGATATGTTAGTTAAGTATAGCTAAACCTCTTCCCTCTGTCTTCCCAGTTGCATAACATCAGGCCCTTGGCAAATAGATGTTTCACTCCACTGATTCCTTCCTCGTGTCCTACTTCTTGCTAAGACTGAGGTAAGCTGCAGGACCAGAAGACAGGCTTCCTCACTCACCATCCTCTCCTGCAGCCAGAAAACCAGCCTCTTCCCACATTTCTTTCCCATGCTGTGAAATAACAAACCAGAAACTTCTTGATCTACTGGAGTGCTATTTCATCCTCCTGAAAAAAATTAATGCCTGAATTTAACTTAATGGATCCTTCATTGCTTAATGTCTCAGGAGTGCATGCAGAAGATTCTAGCAGATGCTAAAGAAAATTCTTAAATTAAAGGGCAAGGCTTGGGATGGGAGTAATTAATTATCTATCTTAACCTCAGCCATGGCAAATGGATCAAAGGGGAGTGAGGCAGAATGCGTCACTCAAAATGTGATAGAAGCCTCATATTTTCAGCAAAATTGTGTCATCTACGGTTTGAAATTCTGTTAAGCCTGGAGCCTGGAGTTGTTGACCACCAATTAGAGACAGAGATGAATGACTCTATGAAGTAAACAAGTCTGACTCAGCAGGCAATAAGCAGAGATTCTGAAGAGCAGTACAGAGATTTTGCAAAGCAGACAGCGTTGTTCTCCAGGATGAGCACCAAGTGGAGAGAGACAGAGATCCCTCCTCCATGGCAGATTTCTGCCACAGGCCTCCAGCTCCCTGTGTTGTCATGTGTGTTGGTGACCCCTGCCTTAACTCTGAGACCTGGCAGATTTATCCCAATCAAATGCCAGGCTCAGTTATGTGAGTCAAAAAGTATGAAGAAGTATGAATTCATCTATCTCAGGGCCAATTTAGAGGAGCATCAGACTACTCAGACTAGGCAAATTACAGGTATTTAAATTATTATTTTCTGAACGTTACTACAAATTGAGTGCATGAGAGCATTTAAAAATATTTTACTTTTCAGAGTCTTTACTGAAAAACAATAGAGAACTGCATATGCTTTGCAGACCATTATTCAGAAAGTAAATAATGTGTTTCCCTGAAGGGCAAGGAAACCTGGAATTTAGTGCAAATCACTGTGATGATGTGAAAGCAAGAGAGTAAACTGGTGAAAAATTGAGATTAATGTAATCCCATAGATGTATATGTATTCTATATATGCACATAGACACACATGCACACAGGTATATATGCAGGGAGTCTTCTTTTAGGGTAAAAGTTCATACAAAATCCATGCTCAGTCTTTTTAAGTTGTTTTCTACTGATGTGCACAGGCTCTGCATGAACTGATTTGGATTCTTTCCAAGCCACTTTACTCGTTGAAGCTCCAAGGCCGGATGCTTGGGAATAGTGGCATGAACTACATTTGCAATCAACAACTAACCAACAACTAATTTGATAAAACAAAACAAAACAATGAGGAGCTAAGATAAGGTGAACTTAATTTCACAATGGTCAGTGTCCATTTACTCATCTATGCCTATAATTGTGAATGCAGTTCCCTCCCATAAATCTTGGATAAGACTGGCTTGCTGTTCATTTTGTGACTTCATTCCAGCCCTGATTTCAGCAATGTCATGCAGTGACTAAAACTGAAATGCTCTGGGGCATGAGAATGAGAAAGCAAACAGGCTGGGAACAAAAGCAAAACTAAACAGGCTCATTTTTAACTAAGATAAGAAAAATTAATTCCTTACATGCTGAAAAACAGCTGGTTTAGGCCACAGTGCCATCTGGAATTCCTAAGAGGGCCCAAATGCACTTTCTGTGTGTTTGGAGGCTTCCTTTTATGTACAGAAATAAAAAAAACCAAAAAGCCTAAAACACACTGCTGCATGCGCAGGACTAAACCACAAAAGTAGCATGCCCCAGTATCACACAGATGATTTTTGTCAGGGAAACAACTGTTTAAATTCAATATGAAAACAGTATTTTAATTTTAATAATAATTTAGAATTTTTAGGTTTGAATCATTTCTTTTGGAGCCTGCAACATGACTAGAGAAGTTTTCAAAATTTACATAACCTTCACTGGGCTTTTCTATTACAGTTCACAAAATCCCCTTTGTTTTCTTTTGTTAAATTATGCACAAAACTCTAAGAATAGCTTTTTACTCAGTAGGAAGAAAAAGTGGATAAAACTGTGCAGGAAAAATGAATTTAGGAAAATAGGAATAACAAATTCCTTTAGCCATAAGACCTGATAGATAAATTTAGGTATGAATTATTCCTGTTGGCTCACCTGTGGAGCAGATTTGACATCCATACACTTAACAGATGCCTTACAACAAATAAAAGTCTTCCCCCTCCCCATTCATGTTTTGCATATGATTCTCATCCAGCTTAACTAAAAAACACCACTCTCCCCACCCCACAGAAAGGGTGATTATTGTAACAACACAAGACCAGTCAAAACTCAAGCAAGGAATAAAAGCCCAAACCAATTATCAAATACAAACCACAATTCACTTCACAAAGCCTCATGTTAGGGAGAAATAAAATCTTCATTTGCTGTGGCTTGTACAAGGAAAAGCAATGAGGGCAGAGATGCTTGCCTTTCACCACGTTCCACTCAAGAACACTCTGTAAGTGAAAGAATGGGGGAGGCAAGGAGAAAAAAAAAGAAAGAAAAGAAAAGAAAAGCAGCATCCAGAGTATCTTCAATGGTCACACAATTACGAGCAACTATAAATCACAATTTGATATGGTTTCCAAGTCACATCATAAATGTTCAGGCCAAGCTGTCTGGAAACAAAATTAAAAGCAAATATAATTCTCCATTATTTTAATGTCCACAGAGCAATTTGAAGGATAAACATCAATTGGCTTCTATGGAAATAATGAATCATTTTAAAGGCGCCACAGGCTTAACTACTCCACCTTCCGCTGAATGACTAAGGAAAAAAGCCTGCATGCAATTCTTTCACATTTCACTTTTCTCTATTTAAAACTCTAGAACCAGAGTGTTTTTATTTCTCTTTTATTTTGTACTAACATAAGATTTTAGATTTTCTCTTTTGAGCAAAGAAAATGTTTATGAGAATCTTTTCTCCAGCTTAATGAAGCACAGCATTCCCACTGCTCTCTGGAGGTCAACCAGCCACAAGCTCTGCAAGGCACACTCTTTGGTAGGGCTGAAAATAGCATCTTCCTGTTGTCTCATCACACTGATCAAAGAAAACCTTTCCAAGGCATCTGTGTAGTCACTGACTTTGCTACTGAGTCTTTAAAGCACCCAGAGCCACACAGCCTTAAACCAGACACAGGTACAAAAGATGAGTCTACAATGAAAGAAACTCTAAATTTTGCTTGAGCCATAATGATTTGAGTTTTAATCCTGGTTCCAAGATGCTTGGGATGGCAGCACCACAGCAAAGCAGACCTACCTGATAACAATTCCACTGAACTCTGATCTGCAGAGCAGAAAATGTCATGACTGCCACATCAAGTGTGTCTGTAGCATGAGCACATGCCAGAAAGATGCCAGAGTTCAAGGATCACAGAGCAGCCAGAGAAAGCCTTTCAAAGTAGCTCTGCAAACACAGTATCTAACAAAATGGGTCTCACTAAAGAATTGCACTTTTTATCCCCTCACTGTATTGCAGTGACTCCTTCCCTCAGTGTGCATGGGTGAGCAGCCTCATACAGGGCTGGCTCTGTAATCTCACAGTATATTGAACTACCAATTTTCTACTACCAGGCCAGGCCACTGATTTAGACCTTCCTCCTGTATCCCACCATTGGCTAACATAAAATTTCTAGGAAG